TTATTGCTAGCAATGGGATTCTCAGTCTCCGTTACTAACAATCCTTTCCCCCCACTGCGTGAAGATTGGCCCGATAGGATATTTTGCTAACAATGGGACTGATAGTCCGCATTACCAATAATCCCTTCCCCCCACCTACTTTACATTGGGTGATTACATAAAAATAATTTAAGTGTTTGACCTCAAATAATAAAAGCTCAATGAAAATTAACGATAAATTCAGATAAAACATAGACAAATGTAACAAAGCTACTAATGAGGATTGGTTTCACTCAGCGGTCAAACATTGTCCGTTTCGTTTGAGGCAGATGTTTACTGTGTCTAATTGTGTAAGTTATTAAGGGTAACCTTGGCTATGTCTACAATTCTGGTAAAAGGCGCCACGGTATTAACGTAACCTCATATTTCATGTTTTTTTTTTTATTCCTTCATTCATTAATCAGAGGAAAACTATGAGATTAAATAAAGCAATGTAAGCACCTATATATGGTCTAATAATAAAAGACAAAGAAATAGCGCAATCAAGGAAAATAGATTGAAACGTTGATTGAAAAGTATTGAAAAAGGTATGCTACAATATGCTATATGGAAAGAATAGATGATAAAAGAATTGTGAAAAATATCGAACAAGAATTAGTGGATATGTTGTCGAGAGTTTTTTTTTTTTTTTATACAGCTTATAATGGCAAACAAGCTGACGGCCCACCTGATGGAAAGTGCTAACCGTTGCCTATAGACATGAGCAGTACCATTGACATAATAGAGTATACTGTTTCACCCATGATACCCCCATGCGTTGCCATTCCTGAGGACTCAGGTGTTATTCCTCTGTACCCAGTAAATTCACGCCATATCCCACCCTTCAAACCAAAACACAGCCATGCAAACACAACTGTTTCACGGTTGAAACACGAATGGGACAGAGGTACCCAAGCAATCGACTTTTGTACAAAGTCTCCCTCTTTGGGGGTTTGGCCAGCAGTTGCCACGGTTGGCAGGCGGATTTGCAACCGCAGTAAAGCTTTAGAGACGTTTTATGAGGGACGGTGCTGCCCATCTCTCGCACTCACTTAGCCGGCTTTTACGACACCTACGGAAAAGGAAAGGCCTATTCTATGCCGGGACCACACGACCATATCATATAAATACCTACAGACAAATCTATTTCTTTTGGAATTCGCTCAAAAAAATGTATACTGTCCAACAAAGAAGCATCGAAATAACATTGCGCCAGATAACATTCTCATAATCTGATAATGCGGCTGGTGAGTTATAAAAAAATTCATCATTCTTCTCAGTGCGATTATCAAAATATTTACACCAGTACTGTTGATAACTGGTATCCTTTGATGTTGTACATTGCTTCCTACATTAACGTGAAATATTTTGTATACCGGTTGATACTGGTAAACTGGCACTTATGTTAGTGCATTACAAGCTTAAGATACAATGCATTTGAATTTACATAAGATCTTTTTTATGACATGAAATTGAAAAATATGTTATATAATATATACATAGACATATATACATATTTTATTAACATTAGTGTTTTTCTTTTTTTTATTAATAACACTTCTGCAGGAGGGAAAAGTAAGTAATGGGAACTAACAAGTCCATTGCTAGCAATGTATCTTATCATGTCGACCTCCACGCGGGGCCCCCTGGAAACCATCGTGGATATCACCTCTCACTGGTGCCCCGCCAGCGTATACCGATAGTACAGGCGAGGTTACCATTTCATTTTCACCCATTAAAAAAAATTACATTTCTTCGTCAAACAGCTACCATTTTTTTTCTTTCTCCTCTACCTAAAGGTTGTCTGGAAGAGATTGCTTTAGCGATAAGACCTCCTTCTGTACTTCATAAGTATAATATATATTTATCTTTGTATTATTGTTCAAGTGGTGCGATAAAGAGTAAATTAAAGTAGAGAGAGTAAAGGGTAAATCAATAAATAATAAGAGGTTAAAATACGAAATGAATAGTATCTAATAATACGAATTCCGTGTATGAAAGTATCATAAAATTGTAAAAAGTGGGTGTTCCAAATACAAATCGTTCACTAGACATTATTTTTAGGAGTCTATATTTATTTTTATAAAATATGTTTATAACTATCTCTATCTTCACTAGGTATAATAAATAGATGTGTAATAAAATTTTATAGAAAACTATAAAAGTTGAACTTTGAGACATAGTGTGCATTATTAACACCCCCCCCCCCCAATATATAGGTATATATAGGTATATAACAATATGACAGGTCGACCTCCCATTGGTCCCCCTGGAAACCATCGTGCTGAATTCCAAGTGTATTCATCACGATGGGCTAACTGATTTACCTTTTCATCCTCACCAATCATCCTTTACTGGTGCCCCGTCAGTGTATACCGACAGCGCAGGCGGGGTTACCATACCATTATCATGCAATAAAAAAAAACTTACTGTGATATAAAGTTAATTATTATCATCAAAAATACCTACTTCAAACTGTTGCGTTGCTAAGTTCGACATATTTAAGTAATTCATCATTATTCCATTAAATTATAAATAAAACGTGAACGTAATCAATCGAAATAACAGTTTAATCATCAAAAAATGATATGATTATGTTATTAACCTTTTTCGTTTTGAAAAATGACATTTATTACTCGCTACAATTAAGTACATTTATTGTGTACAATTAACTATCCTACGTCACTTGGACTGTCACGCACGACAGATCTGTATGTACTTCAATTAATTACTTCATTCATTACTCCAGCCCATGAATGATAATAAAAATAAATAAGGAAATTTTACCATAGTAACATTTTGTAATAACTTGGATACTTTAATTTCATTAGAGTTTCTCCCACCACATATAATGCAGTACTATAATATGCTACATAACTACAGATAAAAGGGGAGAAAGGGATTGTTAGTAATGGAGACTGAGAATCCCATTGCTAGCAATATACCCAACCAGATCGACCTCCTCGCGGTTTTCCCTGGAAACTATCATGGTTAATTCCTGATAAATTCATCATGATGGGCTAACTGAGCTGTTTTCATTCTCATCTATCACCCTTCACTGGTGCTTCGCCAACGTAGCCCATTAGCGCAGGCGGGGTTACCAAACCATTTTCTTCCATCAAAAAAAACTAAATAGCTATGCTTTAGCCGCTATGTTCCAGTTTGAAATGTTGAATATGGCAGTAAAATTACATATTATAGAGACATAAAAGCTTAGTCCTCAAAAGTGACACGAGAAGTATGCATTGTGGGCGTCGCAATAAATTACGTATGTATTATCTATGGTAAAATTCATGTATATGGGCGATGATTACATCTTACAGTCACATGGAACATCTGCTTGTTTGCTACTCTATGCTACATAAAAAAAGACAAAAGAAAACAAACCAAATTAAAAAAAGACCCCCGTTCACGTTTATTGGCGGCGGTTACTACTGTACTTCAAACAAACTGTCAGCTATTTTTACATTCTACTATGTTGCATAAAAAAAAAGATAAAAGTAATTTAAGATTGTGTTCCTCAGAAAGTAAACCGAATTCAATTGAATCATAACCAGGTATTTTGATTTTAAATGTAAATTACTGAACAAAATTTAAATCAAATTTCTATCTGGCCACCAGTAAAAATATCCTTTCAAATAAAAAAAATAAAAATTCAAATCGGATCATAACTGACAGAGTTAGAAGGCAACAAACAAAAAAAAACTAAACCGAATTGATAACTACTTCCTATGCCACTGTGTTAGGTTGACTGGAAGAGATCTCTTTTAGAGATAAGTTCGCCTTTGCTAACATTGTTATTAACTTATTGTTGTTACTGTAGGTTTTAGTGCAATAAAGAATATATATATATATATAATATCGTTCTTTTTGAAGACGCTTGAACAATGAATGAACACCAATCTACCAGCATACGTGAACTAAGAGAAGATTACACTTTTACTCTGGCGATTGTTTAAAAACCGCACGCTCGAGATAAAATAAAGAAACATTAATAATACCAACTAAATCCAAACATTCCACTCACGATGTTGTTCGCGCTGGTTATATCTAATCAAGAGTGAATTCAAGTGTTTATGTCTAAATATAATCATGCTAATGTGCCCTTTGCGGACTTGGATCGTCTGTACTCGTCGATCTCTTGATCGATCAATCAAAATCATCGTAATACTGCGCTAACACATGGTAGGCAGTACTAGTATTTATTATAAGTTCTCCGATAATCTATACTTACAATAAATCTGTAGAGAGGTCAATTCTGTACATGTAATATATTTCCAAAGGGTGATTAGTGATCGATACTGATGCCAAAAATGCAATCATTAAATTTTTTATTCATTTAAAGTTAGGTAGACTCATTTAACCCGTCACTACTGCTGTACTTCACTTGATACTTACAATTATGCACATTATTAAATAGATAAGATACTATAATACGTGTTGATTCAAGTGCAACTACGTGTAAATACTCAATAGTGCGCTGTCATACATATTTACATAGTGTATATTACAGTGAAATGAAATGAAATGATATTTATTTGCTGTGAACGCGATACATAAACTACGCGGGACCTACACGATAGCTATATTACTCGCAGATAATGTAACTTTCTATAGGCGAAAGATTTTTTAAAATGGTTTAGTAGTTTTCGAGTTTTTCCATTACATACAAATAATCAAACGCAGTGTAGGACGACCCTCCTCCCTACTAAATGGAGTGACGACCTGAAATAGATATCAGGGAGTCAGTGAACGCAGGTAGCTCAGGACTGTTTTTTTATGGCAATCTATGGGAGAGGCTTATGACCAGCAATGGGTGGATAATGACTGAAATGATGAATTAAATCTTTCCTAATTATAATATTACTATAGACTATTAGTACTCGTGTAAGGGTATCGCCCTCTAGTGGCAAGAGTTTCTAAGCATCCTTCGTTGTTCTAAATCCTCTGATGTTATTATCTAATCGTGTATTATGTTGCAGTGAGGCGATCAACCCAGAACAATGAGGAGACGGGCGACGGTGTCTCCGTGGAGCTCATACAAACAAACATCACGCGACTCACAGCAAAGTCTATACACCAGGCTGGGTACCATCTGCACTCCATAGAGCATTTGTAAATTTCTTTTCCTTTTTTTATATTAGATATTCATTTATTTTACACTAATAATACACAAAAAAAACACGACAGAACTAAACAAATGTACAAAAGCGAGCTAAATTCTAAAAGAGTTCTCTGGCAGTAAACACAAAGTGGAAAGGAGCATTAATGTCAGCGGATAGAACGGTGACAATTTTCAAACAAAAAGAACTAGGCAAACTACTTAGAATAGCAAACATGCTGACGGCTTACCTAATGGAAGTGATACCTATCGCCTATAGAGGCTATACATGAACAGCGCCATATTTTTTTTTGATGGGTGAAAATGAAATGGTCACCCCGCCTGCGCTAACAAGATACGGTGATCGATGAGAATGAAAACAGGCCAGTTAGCCCATCATGATGAATTCATCAGGAATTAACCATGACAGTTTCCAGGGGGAACCGCGAGGAGGTCGACCTGGTTGGGTATATTGCTAGCAACGGGATTTTCAGTCTCCGTTACTAACAATCCCTTTCCCCCCTGAACAGCGCCATTGATTATATAATATTGTACTACACCATGGGCATGCACAGTGATTCCCATCCGTGGTACCCCATATGGGTTTCTACTTCTGAGGACTACAATATTATGCCTATATTTGTTAATTTAAATAACTTTATTGACCAAAAAAAAATATATAAGTCAACCTTTGGGATGAACGGTGAATCACGAACGCGGTACTTCATTATTGGGATAGGTAAAGAAAATAACAGCTAATAATGTATACTTATACAAAATAAATAATACATACATATATAACATGAAATGATGGATATAATATACATACCAATTATGAGGACGACAACCGAAGGGTTAAAAAAAATCGAAATGTTATTAAAAACTAATTTACGTGTAACACTAATAGAATAAATATACAATTATATACAATTTCTATATCTAATTATAATTTAAATAATTGCCCAGTTCGAGTGTGAATCAAGTCTCGATAGTGGCTCGTTATGTAACTTATATAAATACAAAGGAATATGTATAAACAACTATATAAACATATAAAATATAAAAGATGATATTGTAATGAGTTCATAAAGTGATCATGGACTTATTACTCAAGAATAACGACTAAAACCTAGATTATTTATAGTTATATATATATATTCTAAGTATACCAGAGGGGGACATTACACAAAAGTCGTTTGCTTGGGCACCTCTGTCCAATTCGCGTTTCTACCGTGAAGCAGTTGTGTTTGCATGGCTGTGTTTCGGTTTGAAGGGTGGGATATGGCAGTGAATTTACAAGATACAAGAATAATACCTAAGTCCTCAGGAATGGCAACGTATGGGGAGTATCATGAGCGAAACAATATACTCTATTATGTCCATGGTACTGCTCATGTCTATAGGCGACGGTTAGGTATCACAAAAAAAATAACTTCGCTGCCAAAAACTATATTTCACACCGATTTTTTTTTTTCACTTTCAGATCAATTATTGATGCGCCTAAATTAGATTATGTGGCTGTAGACGATTTCTCCAAAATGCCCAGACTCAAATCACTGTAAGTACCTAGTCATATTATTCATTAACAGCTACCGTTTACTAACGGTGAATAATATATAGCAATATCTATATATTTTAGTTGCAATATCCATGTACTGGCCTAATAACGAATATGTTAAAAGCCTTTCTTGATTAACGTTTTAGTTACTTTTTCTAGTAGTACTTTTACTAGTTAGTTTAGTATATATTAAGTTGTCATTGAAAATTTTAAATTTGACCGCAAAAAACTATTTCAAAAATTCCAAAATAAAATATGAAGTAGATGTAAAGTTTTGACAAAAATGACAAAGAGTACTTAATTGTGCAGAGTTGTTTTGACAAACAAAAGCGCTGTTGTCAGATGTTGATTATTAAACTGAATGTAAAAGAGAACTTTTTGTTACAATAAAAGTTTCTTCTTCTTTATTAGTTTAACAAACAGTAACACATTACAAATGTTACTCGAAATTAATTGAATTTTACTCCTTTGCTAATGTCGTCAATTCTGAAGCGACTAATGTTTCGTTGTTAATCGCATGTTCGTTGTTTCTATATCAATTCAGACATGATTGTTATGACATTATTTTCTGTATAATATAATCAGGAAATGTAATATTTTGCTAACAGATTCATAACCCAAGCACCGCTCCTGCGTCGACTAAACCCACTGCCGCCAATGCCAGAACTACGCACATTGTACGTATGTACTTGTTTTCTATGTACCTCACTATATATTTAGAATTTATTTTAAATGACTGTAAAAGTCATGCATTGTCTTATTACTTATATAAAGAGAAAAAATTTCATTGTATGTTTATTTGTTTGTAACGAATAAACTCAAAAACTAATCAACCTGTGCTCTTGGTCAAGATATAAACTATCAGTACTTATATTAAATTACATTCAAATCCGTTTAGTTTTTGCATGAGAGAGTTACAAACATTCATCAATAAATCCATCTTATAAAGTTTTGAATTTATAATACTGGTAGCTTTATGCCTACTTGTAAAATAAATAGATGTAGTAATCTAACTTGACAATTATTCTCTGATACTTAGGTGCTCTGTAATCTGTTTCACACTTTTCATGTTATAAATTATGGTAACATTAATCTGAATTATGTAGATTAGAAGCATTTTGACATTAAGATATGCAGAATTTGCTTTATCACCTGTGATAATGATTAATCGAGACTGATTCTTGTAAATTGCATGACTCACATATCTCGATAAAGAAAAATATTATAATAAAACATGCACCCGTAAAGCGTGTATGAAAAGATTGATGAATGTGGAAGAAGCGAAAGAGGTTTGTTTGAATCGAAGCATTTGGCGTTCCATTGTTTCTGCCTATAATGGGAGACAGGCATGACAGATATGTATGTATGTATATATGTAAAACATGCTGTGACAGATTGTCTTTATAACTGAATATATATTTATTTATTTATACTTTATTGTACACATTAATAATGCATACAAAAATATGACAGCTTAACTCTGCAAGAGTTCTCTTCCAGCAAACTCAAATATAATGCTAACTTAAAATGGAACGATTTCTTATTAACTGCCTGTTTACTGGGAATTTCTAGAAAACATTTTTTAAATTATTTTGGACAAAAAAGAACTATAAAAAAATAACGGTTACATAACTAATATTGTAAGTAATGTTTGTTTATTTTGGACAAAAAAAAAACATTACAAAAATTTTACGGTGGATTTAAATTTTGTCTTATTATTTTTCTGCAAACACATTCAGAAAAAAAAGAAAAAAAAAAGCCTTGACCAGACACAATTTTTATTATTCCTCTCTATCCTAAGGTTGCATAGAAGAGATCGCTATTTAGCTATAAGGTCGCCCATTGTCGTCCCTTTATCTTATTTTTATGTAATTAAATTTGTGTAAATTATTCATTTTAGTGTGAACATATTATTAATATTTATAATCAGTATCGTTCTTTGAAAGGAAAAAAGTGTTCATTCATTCATCATCTAAAAGTGATTACTTCCAAAATCCATACTTTCAGAGGAATAACACCTGAGTCCTCAGGAATGGCAACGCATGGGGGGGGGGGTATCACGGGCGAAACAGTATACTCTGTTATGTCCATGGTACTGCTCATGTCTATAGGCGACGGTTACCACTATCCATCAGGTGGGCCGTCAGCTTGTTTGCCATTCTAAGTTTAAAAGAGCATATTCCTTTTTAAAAGACCGGCAGCACACCTGCAATGCCGTTGGTGTTGTGGGTGATCATGGCCAGCGGTAATCACTTACCACCAGGTGAGCCGCATACTCGTTTGCCCCCTGTGTTATAAAAAAAGAAAAAAAAGTTGCATAAAAAACACACACGAAAATGCGGCTTTTGTCCTCATGTTTTAATGGTTTAATATACTATATTACAGTATGATAACGACGTCAGGCCTCCTAGAAGTGCCCAACCTGAGCAAAGTGCATAACAAGAACAAGAACAATGTCTCCCTTCCTTATCTACAGGCTGTGTAAGTTTACAACTATTATTGTTTATAATTTACACCAATTAACACTATTATGATAATATTTCATTTAACAGACATTCCTGTAATAAACATTTTTAACAGTATCAATCACAACAGCATAGAAAAAAAACGTACGATACAAATCGACATTTCTATAAGATTTTCTTTCACAAAAATAAAACAGTCATTTATATGATTTTCTCTTCCATTCTTCTCAAATCGTAATAATTTAGATAGATAGATAGATAGATAATTTATTTGTATTACGTACAACACACACAAATAACAACAGACATACACAGTAAAAAGAGATAAAAGAATTCATATAAAAAAAAAGCAAAATATATAAAAAACAAGTAACAATTTTCTTCTTTCATGCGTGTACCACAGTATTACAAAATGGTCACAACTCAGTTTATTGTTTTGCCCTTAAAAAGTGCAAAACACTGATATTCTGTGGCCAAAAGCCCGTCGAGAAATTCCTTAATAAAAATAATTGAAAAAAAAAAAGAAATATGAATAAAAAACAATGTGTGTGTCCATTACATTCACTACTATTTAATATTTTATTCTAAATAAATTCGCATTCACGCTCATTTTGGCATTATCATCTTTCACACAGTCCACCCAAAAAATTATTGACGTTCTTATTTGACGTACTTTGTCTTTGCAGAGACTTGGAAGGCAACCACATAAAACGCATCCCGTCACACGCTCTGCGCGTCCGAGCCGATCAAGTGTAAGTCCCTAGGTACAGACCAATTATCATATTTTATTTTATTTTCTCATTTCAATCCTTCATTTGTAATAATATTGTTAGAAAACAACATACAATGAATACTAACACAACTCGTATTGGGACTAATAAGTTACAGTTCAGAGTTTCAGAGGCCAAAAAGCCTTAGCACTAACTCTATCACTATTGTGTTACATATATTTCATTAAATATAGCAATTATGTACTTTAGAGTAACAGAAAGCTGTTCTTGCAAACCTACAAAACTTTTAGGAGCATTGTCTGGTTTGAAAAGGTTTCCAATCTGTAAACCATTATATTGTACGTAATTATAAAGACTTTATATTTAATTTTATTTTCTATTTAAGCGCTGCGCTCTTGTCGCTGGAGCTCTTGCCACTCACTACGATTTTCAGCATGTCTCATCACCTCTTTATACGACACGACACCAACTTTTTCCTCGATCTGCCTGATGTAACTGTGCCTTGGTCTCCTCTTTCCATTTCGTCCTTGTATTTCACCTTCTATTATAATGTTGATTAGTTCGTCGTATCAAATTAAGTGTCCCAACATTTTCTCTTTTCTGATCTTGTTTCAAATTGTCGCCGAAATTATATAAAATTATTTGAATAATGACATTTATAATACTATCTTTATTGTTAATAAAATTCGTAAATATCTATACATTATATTTTATTGTAAAAATAATAACAAAATTGACTTACGTGTATGTTGGCGAGAATTAGTGAAATTAAAAAAAAAAACTAATCGAGCATTCTTCGATAAATTTGTCTAGTGAGAAAGTGTCAAAAAACAATTTGGAACCAAAAAATTTTTAAATAAAAAAAAAATTCTGCTGCTTTTATTATTTGTTTTAAAAACATTTAAGTATTTTTTCTCCGATTTTTATGAATTGGCGGTTTTTCTGTGCGAAAACCTATAGTTTTAAAAATAATTCTATTATACCTAATCTTTTTTAACAAAAATAAAAAATCATGTGAAAATAGTTTTAAGTTGAATTAAAACTATTTTATACATATTGAAGAAAAACAATGTTGTGTATTTTACGCTATAAAAAATAATCGCTATTAACTGGTGTAAAAGGGTTCAAAAACTGATTCATTTTACACAAAAATAAATTCATATTTAAAGGGTTGTTCTAAGTTCTTGTCATTTTTGACACATTTTTGTAAAATATTGTAGTTTTATTTCTAATTATGACTTTTTTACCACAAATATTTTGTTAACATCTTTTTTTTCTATCTCTTTGTTTTTAAAGATATTGTTGATTCTTATACCATTCGAGAGAAAAATTTGCTTATTTATGTTGCATAAAAAAGAAAAAGGCTATAACTTGAGTTATACCCTTTCTCACTAGAGGCACAGAAATTTGTTTTGTGTCAAAATCAAATTTTTCTAAAAAAAAAACAATTACGTTGTTTTAAAAACTAAAGTACCGAACCGATTTTAATGAAATTTCTGTGCGACCAATCTGAAAGTCGGAAAGTTCTTCGAAAATTCTTTTTTCGAAGAAAAAAATTCCCGAATCGGTTCAAGCGTCTTCGATTAATCGAGGAACACATAGAAAATAAAAATTCCGACGTTCTATACGTCCGATGTATTGTATTGGGAGGCCAAAGCCTTTTTTGAAGTCGGTTAAAAATACACGTAAATCAATCCGGTTGTTATTTTTGCAATAACACACAATGCCATCACTCACTTTTCGCTTCAAACTGGACATCTTTTTTTTTCATCATCTTTAATATAAGATATTGTGTTAATTTTTGACAGCTCGAATAAATGTTGTAAGTAAACTAATATTATGCTATTTTCGCCGCTAAAGCAAATACGAAACACATGTTCAAAATGTTCAATGTTCATATTACAAGATGAGTTGCCAAAGGATTTTCTGGAGCAACCACCTAAATACATGTGTACACCTGTTCGGTTTTTTTATGTATTTTTATTTTGTTGCTGTTCTGAGAAAGTCTTAAAGCCCAACTTATTTTCGATGTCGAATTAATCTTTTAACTGGAAATTGTAAATGTAATAATAATATGTACCCATATTAAATAAATTTCAGCTAAGACAGATTTTGTATCGACCGGTTAAACATCATTTTTTTAAATTTCAGTCAACGCATGGAGCTTTCATGTGCTCGTTGAAATAAATAATAAATGTGTTATTTTCGAATGTTTATTCGGATTCTTTTAAAATAATTTGTGTCTTAGATTTAGCAATATATTTTAATAGCGCCCCCGTATGTATAGGTAGGCAATTGAGTCAGTTAAATTAAACAAAGTCTTCATACGACAGGTCCCTGAACTACAATCTCATCGAGGAAGTGCCTGCTTATGCATTCAAATATGCTGAAATATCGAAATTGTAAGTTCATATATTATTTTAACATTTAATACTTATAAAGAAACCTTTTATTTCATAATTAATTAATTATGGATTATATGTATATACAATGTCACAGTGGTGATGGGATTGGGGATTATAGGCAATAGAAAAAAATCATATTTAAATAATTTTATAACTAAAAAGGTTAGAAAAAGAGCTACGGTGTTAACAAATTTAAAAGGCTTTTTGGGAGGAGTTTCCATAAGGCACCCCACCTTCGCTATTTGATACTTTAAAGCTCGCACAATTAGACGAAAAAAAATATCAGAAAAATGATGGTTACTAAAATAATAATATCGTTGCCTATGCAGTTTCAATATTTCCGCTCGACATGGGATTCGGAATCAGTATCGATAGAAGAGTAAACACGACAAAAGGTACAAGGAACCTATGTCAGGACAATAAAATATTATTTATTGATACTTTGTAAACCTCTGTCCCATTCGTGTTTCTACCGTGAAGCAGTTGTGTTTGCATGGCTGTGTTTCGGTTTGAAGGGTGGGATATGGCGTGAATTTACAGGGTACAGAGGAATAACATCTGAGTCCTCAGGAATGTCAAATATTATGTCCATTACTACTCCTGTCTATAGGCGACGGTTACTACTTTCCATCAGGTGGGTCGTCAGTTGTATAAAAAAAAAAAAAAAAAAAAAAATAGTTAATTATTTATATATATTAATTATATACAAAATTATATATATATTATTTACAAATATGTAAAAAATATAATCTATCTATTATATACACACCTTACATCTAGGTACTATTGTACACAAAAATTTCATTGTTATAATCTATATTAAGTGAAGATAAGGTATGATAACAGGCGTGCTTAACTCTGTAAGAGTTCTCTTTCTTAAATTTATGTAAAAATACAGTATTACACATGTAAAAAGCCAGTTCATTATGCATGTAATTGTAAGAGATGAAAAGAAATGGAAACCAGATAATGTTATGATATATTATTAATACAGCACGTATTTAAATTACTCTGTTTTTTCCTATGTTTATTATAGATGAATAACTATTAGATATATTATCTGTGACTGAGGGTCCTGACTAAATGAGGCAGAGGCTCGTCTTAACCCGGATTCGCTAGAAATGTGGCTTAGCTTCCGAGCGGAACTACCACTTGGAGGGAACAATCGATTTCTTTCGCCATAATATTTAATTTTTAACGGTGACAAAACTTTAAAAGACGTGCAATCATTTTAACCTTCGAGGTGCAATGGCAGACATGTTACTTTTTTTTAAATAAAGTTTCGGGTTTAATTCTCGATCGATTTAGAAAACGATTTCTTTAAATTTGCTCATATCAGATTGTTCTAGGATGTGCTTTTAAATATTCTTTATCTGGTTTCCCTTAACAGAAGGTATCTTAGCTTGAAAACCAGGCATTGGATGTAACTGTAATTTTATAATAAATGCTTCCAGGTCACCGTAGTCTGGCTTCTTTTAAATATTTTAAGACTAATCTAAGGGGCATAAATTAAAGTAACAAGCATAAACATTATTTCAGTATTGTTTTATAGGAGCTTCAGGGGGAACACGAAACTGCGTAAATTGGACGACAAAGCTTTCTCTGGAAACCTACTACTTCGACAATTGTAAGTTTTGTTTTCGTTCCTAGACAATACCTTTAATACTACTATTATTGTAAACGTGAAATTTTATGAAGATGTATGGTACATATTTTTCAAGTTTTTTGTTACTTTTTCACGCAAAAACTATTGAACCGATATGAATAAAATTTGGTACATAAATGAGTTATATATTTTTTTTTACAACACAGGGGGCAAACGATCATGCGGCTCACCTGATGGTAAGTGACTACCTCCGCCCATGGTCACCCACAACACCAACGGCATTATAAGTGTGCTGCCGGCCTTTTAAAAAAGAATATGCTCTTTTCTTGAAGGTTATGTTGTCGTATCGGTTCGGAAATATTGCTGCTGGAAGTTGATTCCAAAGAGAATATAGAGAATATATTCTTAGAATATAGGAATATTTTATAATAAGTGATTCATGCGACACACCTAGACTAACTATAAGACTATTTCTATACATATAGATATTTATAGAATTATATAGATATTTATATACTTATGGTTATGGTGGTGATGACACCATAAGACTATTATTAACGTTATAATCAATAACCCCTCCTGCAATATTAGCTTACGTTAGTGGAGTACTAGTGAGGGATGTGTCCTAGGAATGATAGACGAGAATCAATCATCGTTCTAGTCAGCATATTGTAAGAGATTCATTAGGAATTAATCACGATAATTTCCATGAGGAACCGCGTGAAGGTCTACCTGACAGGGTATATATTGTGTCTATACATATATAACGAGAAATTAACGAACTCACGGCTTCACGAGCTATACAAGCTGCGGCCCGCAGTGCGAGGAGAGACGCTGTGGCGCAAAACGCAATACGCTCCTTGAAGAATACTTCCAGATGAAGTCGAAACAATCGTTTAAACGGCAAAAACACAGTGAGTTCAATAATTTCCCGTTACATATGTATAGAAATCTTATTAAAAAATAAACATAAGTTTTAAAGGTATATATTGTTAGAAATGTAGTTGCTAGTCTCTATTATATTTATTATTGTGCCACCAGATGAGATAAATATTATAATCTGTTATTATAAATAATTATAATAATGAGATAAATATAAAAACTTACAACTTAGAACGGCACACAAGCTGACGGCCCACCTGATGGAAAGTGGTAACCGTCGCCTATAGACATGAGCAGTACCATAGACATAACAGAGTATACTGTTTCGCCAATGATACCCCCCATACGTTGCCATTCCTGAGGACTCAGATGTTATTCCTCTGTACTCGGTAAATTCACGCCATATCCCACCCTTCAAACCGAAACACAGCCATGCAAACACCCAAAGAGGTACCCAAGCAATCGACTTTTGTACAAAGTTATGTACATTCTCTTTATGTAATCAATGACTATGGCCTATGTTCAACATTGAACGGATAATGGCCGAGATGATGTTGATTCGATACATACACTATGTGATAAGTTGTTATTGCAGAGATCTGAGCAACACGGCGATCAGCAGCTTACCAACGGAGGGACTACAAAACCTGCAAATACTCCGAATAGAAAAGACTCCCAGCTTGAAATATGTTCCCTCAATTTACGAATTTCAGGTTTGTGAGAATATGTATTAAGGATTCTATATTATCTATACATTTATATATATATGTAAATAAATAAAATATTACTTATACTTATATTATAAATTTATTTGTTTGTCTGTAATGGATAAACTCAAAACTACCCAACCGATTTAAAAAATTTACTTGTATAAAGTTACATTATCAACAAGTAACATCGGCAACATATTATTTTTGAAAATTCTACCCGTGCCACAGATAATATAATATATATATATACTATACCCCGTGCGAAACCAGGTCGAATTCATCCAACAAAAATCTATATATATCTATATCTATAGACTTTTTGTAGTAAAAAAAAAATGTCTAATGTTTTTTTACTACAAAAAGTCACTTTCATTTTTAATATTAAAATGAATATACTTTGAAAATATACTGCGCAAACAGCAACTTCAATTTCTTAAAAAAAAATGTGTAAAATACTTACTACACAATACATTTTTCTTTTTCGAAAGCACTCTAAATAAAAACCAGATAATTTTTTTTTATACAACTTAGAATGGCAAACAAGCTGACGGCCCACCTGATGGAAAGTGGTAACTGTCGCCTATAGATATCAACAGTACCGTGGACATAACAGAGTATACTGTTTCGCCCATAATACCCCCCATGCGTTACCATTCCTGAAGACTCAGGTGTTATTCCTCTGTGCCCAGTAAATTTACGCCATATCCCACCCTTCAATACTAGGCAAGACAAGGCAAGTGTTCATTACAAGTTTTTTTTTATGGATGATAATGGAATAGTAGTTCTGCCTGCATTATTGATATATAAGGAAATAACCACGATGGTTTCCTAGGGGAACCACTTGGAACTTAACCTGATAAAGTGTATTGTGGATGCCGCCTTCAATGGGATCGTTGAAGGCGGGGGAGGGGGGTGAAGGAAGTGTTAGTTATGCGGACCAGTCCCATTCCTAACAATACCACAACAACAAGACCCTGTCAGGTCGACCTTCACGTGGTCCCCCCTGGAAACCATCGTGCTGAATTCCAGGTGTATTCATCACAATGGGCTGTGTATTGACCTGTATTTTCATTCTCACCTATCATCCCTCACTTGTCATCCATTAAAAAAAAAATAGGGCTGTTTTGTTGAAGTTTTAATGCTGGCTGTTGACACCGAGGTTTTTTAGAACAATGTATTATTTTTTTAGTTTGTTCTGTGTCAGATTTTCATAAGACATGTCTCGTGTTTTTTTCATTAAACTTATTATTTTATATCTCAAATACATATATATTTTATTACTGCATCCTGCTATTTACAACACGTTGAACCTCGTTAATAACATTCCCTTCCATTCACACTCATCATATGTGACTTATCTAGACCAAATATTTCCTGTTGACAGCACTTGGAGAAGGCATACCTGACGCATCACTTCCACTGCTGCGCGTTCGCGTTCCCCGAGAGACACGATCCGGCCCGGCACAAGATATACGAGACACAAATAGCTTTAATGGCGAAAGTAAGTTGTTTCAGGTGAAATCTAAATGTAAAACTAAAAATCTCACCTCTATAATCTTTAATTCAGAAATGACAAAACATTTTGTTAGTACGATACCAACATGGCGCGCTCAGCTGTTACATTGGTATGACTTTGATTTCTCGAAGTTTTTACAATTTAAGATTTTTTTCCACAAGAAAAGCACCAACTTCAGTTCAATAAAACCAATTTTATCAAATTAGGTGTTTAATTTAAAAATTAAAAAAAGTAAACCAATTTGTTAAAATTTCTACTCGTAATAGAACAATTTGTAACTATACTTACAGATAAAATAATTGAAAAATTGAATGAATTCCGAATTACTGCATATTTTAATTAAATACTGCCATAAAACTATCATCATCATTTCTACCATAATCCGTCTGCTGCTAGACATAGGCCTCCCCTCCCATAGACGGTATAAAACCCCATAAAACTATAGATAGGTAATTTTTAATGGATGATAACAGAATTGTAACACTGCCTGCGCTATTGGTATACCAATGAGAGATGATAAGTGTGTATAAAAAGGCAGGTCAATTATTTCATCGATCGATCTTCGATCATGAATCCACCTGAGAATAAAATACAATGGTTTCCAGAGGACGCCGCGAGGAGGCCTACCTATGTATATTAAAATATAATATTATTATAAAATATATGAATAATATATAGTAATATATAAAGGTATATTGCTAGAAATAGGTCTGCTAGTCCTCATTACTAACAATCTCCTCCCCCAATGTAAAAGTAGATAGGTATTAATGTAACCTTCTATGCTTTCTTATAGCAATGTCAGGGTGCCGAACAGAGCTCGATGCCACGCAAGAAAAGGTCGTTGCAGGCCATCAGAAATGTCCAATTGAACGAAAACAGCAAAGAAGCGCTGGAGTAAGTTATCATGTTTATAAGCAGTTGTATCATGGATGATATAGTATTCTCTGTTATCTCCATGGTACTGGTTCAAGGCTGTAAGCAACGGTTATCATTTTCCATCAGGTGGGCCGCCAGCGTGTTCACCATTCTTAGTCGCTAAAAAAATCAATAAATATTCTACATCTCTGTAAATTATTGACGGTAATTCAGTAATTCTTATCTAAGAAATCAATTCAGGGCATAAGGACCCAAAGGAGGTAGAAGCCCTTTGTTTTGAATAAAAGCCTTTTGTATTTATTTGAACGTTTATTTGTAAACTATTAATCAACTCACAATATTAATTATCGAGATGTCGGTCTTTTGAGCGCACGTGGCTTTTCTGAATGACTTAACCTCGCTAGCTATTTTGACAGTTGATATGCCATCGCATTACTTTTCTTTATTTATGGAATGGACACAGATATATTCAACACTCTTTAAAATAAAAATAAAAAATTGCTGGAGTAATATACATTTACAAAATTTGTAGAACACAAAATTTTTATATATGATAGTAATAGTAATAGCAAAGAACCTAACGAACCTCTAGTGGAAAGTGGTAATCATTACTTATAGTCATGAACAATAAGATAGATAGCATAGTGTATACACTGTGCCGCCCATGGCTTTTTTAATGGAATGTTAACTTGCCTGTGCTATCGATATACGCTGGCATCGCACCGGTGAATGACGATAGATGAAAGATAAGTCAGTTGGCCCAACGTGACTAATTCACGTTTATCTTTGAATTCCACCCACCAGAAAATAACTACAGGGAGACTTTATACAAAAGTCGTTTGCTTGGGCACTTCTGTCCCATTCGTGTTTCTAACGTGAAGCAGTTGTTTGCATGACTGTGTTTCGGTTTGAAGGGTGGGATATGGCAGTGAATTTACAGGGCACAGAGGAATAACACCCGAGTCCTCAGGAATGGCAACACATGGGGAGTATCATGGACGAAACAGTATACTCTGTAATGTCCATGGTGCTGCTCATGTCTATAGACGACAGTTATCACTTTCCATAAGGTGGGCCGCCAGTCTGTTTGCCATTCTAAGTTGAATAAAAAAAAGAATTAAGCACCTCGGTTTTCAAGAGGGACCACGCTGAGGTCGACTTGTAAGGGTATATAGCTAGTAATGAGGTAACAATCCCTTTCCCCTCGTGCCGTCCATGACAACTCCCGTGTTTTTTTATGATGGATGAAAATGGTATGGTAACTCCGCCTGCGCTAATGGGATACGCTGGCGGAGCACCAGTGAAGGGTGATAGATGAGAATGAAAACAGGCCAGTTAGCCCATCATGATGAATTCATCGGGAATTAACCATGATAGTTTCCAGGAGGAACCACGAGGAGGTCGACCTGGTTGGGTATATTGCTAGCAATAGGATTTTTAGTCTCCATTACTAACAGTCCCTTTCCCCCCACTCTTGTGTGTTGCCAGCGTCAAGTTGCTAGCATTCTGGAGAAGAACGGACTTTTATACAATATCTCAATCTAGTCTAAACAGTCTTTATTATATTAATTCCCATTAGTTATTTCTTAAAGCCCCACAGATGAAGATGACGATACTTCAGCGTCGACGTCCGATGAAATGTTCGGCACAACGTTCGACGAGGACGAGCTTGTGTACTCCGACAGCAACGAGGAGTTCATGGAGAACTTCCACGAACCGATCACGGACAACCTCACCAACGGCTACGAGGCCAAATGTGGAAATTTTAGTTTGAGGTTGGTTTATATCTAGCTACTATAGTCTCTTGCGGGGAAGGGATTGTTAGTAATGGGGATGCTAGTCCCCATCGCTATCAATATACCTTATCAGGTCGACCTCCACGCGGTTCCCCCTGGAAACCATCGTGACTTATTTATCGTTGTATTGGTCATGATGGGCTAACTGGCCTGCCTTTTCATCCTCTCCAATCATTCCCGACTAGTGACCCGCCAGTGTATACCGATAGCGTAGGCAGGGTTACAATTCCATCATCATCCATCAAAGTATAGTCTGTTTCATTGTTTTATAACAAATTGAAACATTCTATCAATTGATTTATCATTTATACTATCTACTATTGAACGTCAGCAGACTGCCTTGTGGTCGGGTTTTTTTTTGATGGGTGAAAATGGTATGGTAACCCCGCCTGCGCTAACGGGATACGCTGACGGAGCACCAGTGAAGGGTGATAGATGAGAATGAAAACAGGCCAGTTAGCCCATCATGATAAATTTATCAGGAATTATCCATGATAGTTTCCAGGGAGAACCGCGAGGTCGACCTGGTTGGGCATATTACTAGCAATAGGATTCTCAGTCTCCATTACTAACAATCCCTTTCCCCCCCCCATGTGGTCGGGTTAATTATTCATTTATTTACATTTTCATTAAATTCTGCTGAAAAAGGTTCTTTCTACAGTTACTAAACATGTTAATATTAGAACAGCTCTGTTATCTATATATTGGGTGGCTTTGGGTATTGAAGGCGAGGAAAAGATTATAACTCAGTTCAATAGGGGGGAAAGGGATTGTTAGTAATGGATACTAAGAATTCCATTGCTAGCAATATACCCAACCAGATCGACCTCCTCGCGGTTTTCCTTGGAAACTATCATGGTTAATTCCTAATGAATTCATCATGATGGGCTAACTGGCCTGTTTTCATTCTCACCTATCACCCTTCACTGGTGCTCCGCCAGCGTATACCGTTAGCGCAGGCAGGGTTACCATACCATTTTCATCCATCAAAAAAAAACTCAGTTCAATATCACCCATACCCGTCGGATATTTATATTAATTTCGATCGGGTACTTCATTTCGATATTATATATTGAATAACCGATATTTAACTATTATTGTAACAATATATAGATATCATAACTATATATTATCCATCCCTGGCAGCTACATCTCTATAGCTATGATCCTATAGGCCGAAAATATTACGCTCTATTTTTTGCTAATTGCTACAAACCGACTTGTATTTTAACAAAATTAATAGATGGGTATCATGAAATCACCAATTTTAAATAGAGAAATATTTTTCCAGCCGTCGCGAAGTCGAATGCACACCTCTACCCGACGCATTGAATCCTTGCGAAGACGTAATGGGCTGGTCTTGGCTCCGCGCCTCCGTCTGGCTGGTCATCACGGCAGCAGTCGTCGGAAACGTGGCTGTACTCCTAGTGCTCCTCACCAACCACACCGAGTTGACTGTTCCCAGATTCCTCATGTGCCACCTCGCCTTTTCTGATCTCTGCACCGGCCTGTACCTCTTCATGTTAGCAGTCGTCGACCTTAGATCTTACGGAGAATTCTTCAACTACGCCTACAATTGGCAATATGGCGTTGGTTGCAAAATTGCCGGTTTCCTATCAGTATTCTCTGGGCAGTTATCGGTGTTCACATTAACGATAGTAACCTTAGAGCGCTGGTTTGCCATAACCTACGCCATTTATTTGGAGAGACGAATCTCGTTAGCTGCAGCGGCTAAAATAATGTTAGGAGGATGGATGTTCTCCATTCTTATGGCTGGACTACCGTTGGCCGGGGTCTCAGACTACTCCTCGACCTCCATATGCCTTCCAGTTGAGAGTAAGGATGTCGGGGACGCTGTCTACCAGGGATCACTGTTCATGACCAACGCTATAGCCTGGGTAACAATAGTCATATGTTATGTGCAGATATACAGATCTTTGGGTGGAGGAGGGGAGAAGTACGGTGGGAGAGGGTCAGCAGCAGCAGCCGAGCGAAAAATAGCAAACAAAATGGCTTTACTCATTGGAACGGACTTGCTCTGTTGGGCACCAGTTGCATTCTTCGGCGTTACCGCGTTAGCAGGTGTTCCTTTAGTGGATGTGAGTCATGGAAAAGTGCTATTAGTTTTCTTTTACCCATTAAACGCGTGTGCGAATCCGTTTTTATACGCAATTCTTACGAAACAGTATCGGAGAGACTTTATGACGCTTATAGCTAGGACTGGGAAGTGCAATTGGTTAGTAGATAAATACAAACTTGCAGCAACGCCACCACCCACCGCCCAGACGAACCCTTCAGCTCCAGCATTACTCCCTCTAGTGGACTATCAAAGAAACCAATCCCAGTTGAGCAAAGGCAATGGAGAGATTGCCATTTAATATAATATTTTAAATTTAAGAAATAATGAAAAAATACAATTTATTTATTACATTAATTAGTTTTATTCCTATCTACACAATAGGTTTCTTTCGATTAAAATAAAAGTTAATAAATACGTTTTTGTTAAAATTAGATTATTGGTCTATTCCAAAATGTATTAACTCAAAAATAACTGAGAATAGTCATTTAAACTGCTTAATATTTCACTGTCAATATATTCAATAAGCAATTTATCACCTTCTAGTAAAATCTCTTTTTGTATTAAATCTCCAATTTCAACATCCATTTTCAAAGGGTATACACAATATTTGTCTAATTGTCTGAATAACCTTAGCTTTGGACCCGCCATTTTATTATTATCATTTTTAATATTACATGAATCACAAATAGTGTCTATTGCACGTCCCAAACTCCATTTAGAGCTTATAAATAGAGGCACACTATCTTTCAAGTCGGGATCTAAAGATACAGATTCAATATCACTTAAATTGTTAGCATCCTGAATTACTTTAACAGCCTTTGGCTCCATGCTCTTTGGTTTTGTGACTGCAAAATAAACTCTGTCTGAAACTGGTATAGATTTGGGTCCAATAGCTTTCTGCTTTATTCTCATTAATTGTATTTTTGATGCAGTCTTCACTTTTGCTGAAGATTGCAGGGCTTTCCGGATGTTTTCTGTTATCTGAAAAATATTATAATGTCTTAGTTATATAAACAATCAAGGACAGGAAGTGAGATAATTCAAAAAAAAAAAATTTAATTTGATGGTTTAGAAAAACTATTTTTTTTTTGTATAGAACACTGGAAATTAAAAATATAAAAAAAAAAAATTATATTAGTAATTCCATTCAATGCTTAATAAAATAATAGTCATTTCATTAGGCATTGAATGGTGCCTCAGACTCAATTGTGTGGTGATAGAATAAATATATAATATAAATAATAAACAAATAAAAATATCACTGGACATATTACACAGTACCATATAGTCCTAAACTAAGCAGAACTGAGAACTATAAGAAATGCTTATCTATTAATATAATATGTTGCCAATCCTTTTCATTAAATTGATATTCTTTTAAACATTATCAAGAAATCATTTTTAATTTTTGACATATTATCTAAATTGCAATAATCAAGTTCAATAATTCAGTGCAGTGCAAACTTGGTATTAAATAAAATGATAACAATTACCTTTTCCTGCAAATGTTTGTTAGCCTCTGCAAATTGTTTTCTTGGTGCTTCAAATTGTTCAATTTTAGTTGCCATTGTCTCATCATCTATTTCTGGACATGTCCTGCATATGGAATACAAATGATGATATACACAGAAAAATTTAATAGTCTATACTAATATAACAAAGAGATAAGATTTGATTTTTGTACATTTGTTTGATTGTAATAAATTTATATTTACTCAACCGATTTTAAAAATTGATTCCCCTATTAAAAGCTATATTAATAATAAGTAACAAGCTATATATTTCATTTCAGCTATTATCCGTCCACTGCTGGACATAAGCCTCCCCATAGACTGTCATAAAGAACGGTCCTGAGCCGATAATGATTACTAGTAGTAATATAAAAAGGAAAACAAAACAAACACCAAGTTTTATAATAAGATAAAAAACAGCAGAATAAAAGCCATGTAGAGATAGTAGCTTGTATTTAAATAAATGTTTATTACACTTGTGGGTGAAAGGGCTGTATGCTGGTATGGAAATACTGTGTTATTAGAAAAATAATATAATTATATAAAGTATATACAAAGCAAACCAAGGGAGCAAATAAGCGAACGAAATAAAAGTAAACTGAAACTAAGTTCAAATCACAAACAAACACTTTTTTTTTTTTATAAAATTAAAAAAGAAACTACAAAAGGTGCATAGTGCACAACACTATTTAGAAATGAATGCAAAACACTGACAAAAATATTAAGTACCGTTACTTACGGATGAAACCTGTGTTCAATACAATAATGTTTATTGCATTTTGCACATAACATTTCATGCAAATTTCCTTTTCTGCAGCCTTTTTCCGAACATCTATATATTTGGTCGTCATTTTTGAGGTTAACTGCTTTAGGTTCCGGCGCTAATTCACAATCTCCAGAGAGGCAATGTTCGTTGAAATGTACACGACAAAACACCTTCGCACACTTGCATTGGAGAGGCAAGAAATCAGTTTGATTACAATTGGGGTATTGGCAATGTTCACCAAGTGTTGGAAATTCCATTTTTGTCACTAAAATCTCGAGATATTTAATTCCTCACTTAAAGTATATTATTAAAAAATACTTTTTGTATTTTCCTATGTAGCAAATGCTATAAGAAGCAAATTTAATTGATGTTAAAAAAATATCTAATTAAGAAACAGAAAACAATATGAAATAACATTCATATGAAATCAAAACAACTAGCAGAAAATCGAATGAATGACATGACAAAATTGACATAACAATGACGGCACAAATTGATGATAACAGTGACACTGACAATTTGAGTTGACCTTTTTTATCACCGCCATATTTGTCATTGTCAAAGAATAAAAATCTGTCAACGGTCAATATTAGATCCTTATTTTACCTATCAAAAATTGCTATTCGTATATTTAAGGCAAACTTCCACATTTTACTCTTACGTGCGATATTAAACTATAGAAAGGAGCATTCCAATTGAACAGTTGCACTCAGATACGGGGTCCATACCAAAGTTGTATGTAAAAATAGTAGAGGTATTGTTTGCCACTCAAGAAATAATTATAATGTAAAATTTAAATAAAGTATAAGCAATTAATCCCATGATGGCAGGACAGATTGTTAGTCGGTACACAATAGAGTCAACTACGCTATTCGTATTACAAGAACATTAATGACGAATCTTTATAAACCTTGTAGTGCATTTGTCTATAATGTGGTTCAATCGTGAATTTTTGTATAGTAAAAATAATCACATTATTTAAAAGCCCTTTTATTGCGTAAGACAAATAAATAACATATAAGCTAAGAGGTATTTAGAAAATAATAAAACTATAAGTATAATCTATTTTTTTTACACTTAGCAACACCTTGACATAACAGTATACAGTCTTGACATACTCTTACTTTCTTTTTTTTATTGATATATATATATATATATATATATATATATATATATATATATATATATATATATATATATATATATATGGGTGATTCTCTGTAAACTCGTAATCGGCTGTCCCGACTGTTTTTTTCAAAAAGTAGTATAATTACTTTCATAAAAATCATTTCTAATGAAACTTTAACCCCAAAAATTTACGGGCCCATTGTTTTTAGAACCATAACTATTTTAATTTTTTTTCTAGAAATGATTGAAGCTCTAAAAATACAGTCCCTTAGCTGTCCCCATCACTGTATTCCCGCCTAGAAACGAGATTTATGAAGAAGTTATTGAAACTACATACATTTGGCAGTTAACATAATAAGAAAAAATATAAAATTAATATTATTTTCGTAAAACAAGGTCTCATTACGAATTCTATTATATTAGTAAACACTTGTAAACTTTGTCCCTAGAATTTCCATACAGTCCCCTGCCAAAAATTTAAATCCATATTAAAAAGAAACTGTAATATTTATAAAAGTTTTTTAGAGAGAAACGAAACGTAATTATTGTTAAATTGGCAACCTTGCCGAAAGTGGCAACGAGACACCATTTTGTTTAGCGTCAGAACTTCATTTGTAAGGTGAATACGCGTTTGGTCTGGTACCACACACAGTCCTCTGGTAAGTAATATTATTTATATGATAATTACTTTAATAATCGCTATATAGTTTATTGTTTTATTATTTATGCCTAAATTGATAGGCAGGTTCTTAAAAAACTATTTTACATCAGTTTTGTAAATATTGTGAAATCTAACCTAAATACACAGTCCCCTGGCAACAGTCCCCAGCCTGAAAATGCAGCAGGGGACTGTTTTAAACAACAGGGGACTGTGTATTTTGCATATTGGTTATTGTTTTTATATATTGTTGGTGTAAATTTATCCGCTAAGTATCATTGCTTTGCATTATTTTCCTTTATAAACTTATTTTATACAGGTCGATCAAACATACATGATATTGTTCCTAAAAAGAAAAAAAAAATGCCAAAGGGGAACTACTATAAAAAATAGAGAAGCAGAGCAACTACGATACAAAAGAAGAAAAAATATTCTGAAATGAGAAAACAAATAAGAGAAAAGGAGAAGTTGAAGTACCAAAAGAAGAAAGAAAAAGGTTTGTGAAAATTAGTAATGGTCATCTTGTGAGTACAGAGCTGCCTTAAAGAAGTGAAATGAATATTGTACTGTATACCGAGCCAAAAAACTAAGACTGAAAAGCGTCACTAATAATTTTGTACGAGAAAATACACCGTTATCAGATCCAGAAGCAGATACTTTGTCTACAAGACCCGCCACTCTAGTTCCAGTTCAAATATCTTTCCAGTACTAGTCTACAGCAAAGAAGAAAAGAAGTATTAGAACAACAAAAGAAGTTTAACAGAGAAATAAATAAATAAATCGCACGTTTAGAAAAAAAAACTTGTGAAGTACAATTTACAACTTTATGACTAGAAATACTGTGAAGAAGCAGAAGAGATATCTTCTTGATACAGTTTTTAATCTTTATAAAAAGTTTATTACTGGGCACATAAAAATTAGCTACCAAAAATTTTGCCGACTCCGTCCATTTTGGGTTGTGAAGCCAAACGCTCAAAACCACGATACATGTCTTTGCATAGTTCATAGTAACATAGACATGAAGCTCAGCGCACTTCATACTAATAACATATTGACTTACAACAATCACCAAAAGTTGCTGAAAGATCTATGTTGAGACCGATATAATGTTAATTGTTTGGCGAGATCATGTCATACTCGCATTGATAAAAACCCGAAATATAAACAAATTGATGACAGAAAGGATATAAAATGTGGATATCTGAAATTCAAGATTTTAAGACTAAATGGAACCGACTGGTGACTAAATATTTGAAAAAAACATTTGGATATCCATCCATCATAACACATTTACAGACAGATTTACACAAATTTTTTATCACCACCGAAATATTGTTCACCAATATAAAACAGTGAATAATTTAAAGTCAAATCTACAAGATGATGAAGTTCTGATCCACGTAGATTTTAGCGAGAATTATAGCACTAAATACGCAAAAGAGATACAGAACTTTCATTTCGATGGATCTCGAGCACAATTGAGCCTGCATACCTTAGTGGTTTACCTACGAAATTCCATTCTTTCTTGTTGCACAGTCTCCGAGAACATAGCCCATTCATCTGCTGCTCTTTGGACACATCTACGACCAATTTTCAATACTCTTCCATGTGGCATCGAACGAGGGCATTTCTTGAGCTATGGCCCTATAACAGTCCCCTGATACCTCATACAGTCCCCTGTCATGATTTTTTGAAAAATCGTTAATAACTCGGAAAATACGTATAAATTCAGTGGGCCTCCTTATCTAATTAAAATAGTAGTTAATTTTCTTCGAAATACGACACGGTTTTTTGGCAAATGGCAAAAATAATTGTCAGGACAGCATTTGTATGGGACCTGTACGAGCTTACAGAGAAATACCCATATATAAAACAATAAGATTTTACTTTAAGTGATTATGGGTATTTTATATTGTTTTATTTTTAAATTACTAATGTATACAAAAAGATATCCATTAAAGTTGTTTACATATTGTGCTTGCTCAGCCTAGAAAAACAGATTCTTGTGTAAATGAAAAATAAATGTTAAATAAAATTATTTCACAAATATAGTAAAGTATAGTAAAATATAGTAGGCAATAACAGTTTGTATTCTGTAAAGCTTGAATGGGAATACATCTTTATTCCAATATACAGTTTAGAATCTTAAAGTGATATGAAAAATGCAAAAATATTTATCAAACCAAATGTTGATACAGCATGAATGCTCTGCTATGCCATGATTTTACTATGAACAAAATATAAATTTGTCCTAAATTCTGTTGTCACTTTTATTTTTAATAAAAAATATGTAATTTATAATTCTACAAGAAAATTTATAAGAATATTTTAAGGGTTTGTACATTACAAGATTAATACTCAGAAGCTTGTGCCTGCACAGTGATCTTTCATAAATTTTGAAAATTATCGATATGAATAAAACTGCTAAACTTTGCTAAACATTGAAATTAACCAAATATACACACATTAAATAATAAACTAGAGAATTAAGTATAGTAAATTCTTTATCATATGGCTACAGGGGTGCCATAAAAAATCATATTAATATGAAGTCTCTACATAGTATAAATTTGGTTTGAAAATATAAAAAAAAATACAAAAGAATTTTAACATATAACAATGACGTGGCAACCCTAGCCGCAAAATATACGTAATTACATCTTCCATATTCACTATTGACGAAAATAACTAGATTTAAATAAGCTTGTCTTTCAATAGTTCAAAAATTCACACAATGTATTAATTACATACGTAACTGAAACACTCTCTAATCTTAATACAAACATAGACAAAGGGGTCGAATCTGAGATGTTATTTCTCTAAATCTATCTCTAAAATTAAAATTTCATTGTAACATCACAGGGAAACCTTTATTGTAAGGACCAATCTATACTTATAATAAATCTGTAGAGGTCAATTCTGTACATGAAATATATTTCCAAAATAACTATCAGGGGGTGATTAGTGATCGATACTGATGCCAAAAATGCAATCAGTAAAAATTTTGTCTGTCTGTCTGTATGTTCGTTATAGAAACAAAAACTACTTGACAGATTTTAACGAAACTTGGTACAATTATTCTTCATACTCCTGGGCAGGTTATAGTATACTTTTTATCACGCTACGATCTATAGGAGCAGAGCAGTGAAGGGAAACGTTGGGAAAACGGGAGAAGTTACTCCATTTTTAAGCTTCCGTCGCGTGTGCAGCCTTAATGGCCACTTTTTAAAACGTAAAAATGTCCACCCGTGCGACGCCGGGACGGGCCGCTAGTATAAACTAATTTTCTAATAGAATAACGTCAAATTTATTATAATTTAAATTTATGATAAAACAGTAATATCACAAAAATATAAAATTAAGAGATAAATTTAGAGAAAATGGCGTCTCAGACTCGACCCCATTAAAGTTATTATATTATAGTAACTGAGGCTTATAAAATCAAAGAAAATCCGAGATCCAAATCTCTGGCGGGCATAACTTCTAGCTATATTTGATTCTTAGTGGTTAGCATGTAGCTGTATTTGATACCAATGTCAGTTTTTGAACTGAATTTACTAGAGCTTTGCTTCACTTATTAGTAAACTAAATACACCAAAGCGTGTTTAATTAATTAAACTAGATGGCGCCACAGTTAACTTATTTTACGATCTTATGCTGCCTTTGATTTTATAGGCCTCAACTATGACCTTTTTTTAAAAAGCCCTAATGACCCGCAGATTTTATTAATCATATTTTTCTTTGATTTTTTAGTACCAGACCTGAAATGTAATTTATTTCAAAACTCAAACAATTAACTAATAGTTTACGAATAAAATCAAACAGTTATTTTGATGGTCGATATTTTACTACTTAGAGTAGATTTTATAATTTATTTATTTTACATAAGTTTTAATGTTTCTATAGCTTTCTCTAATCTCTGGATCTCGCCTTGTGATTGAGCTAGCTTCTCTGTATTGCTCTTTTGTACTTCTATAGGTACTTTCACCGCGTAATCTTCGGCTGCTATTGCTTGCTGCAGCTTATTTATCGTCTGACTTAACGTTTCCTTCTTCTTCTCCAATTTCGCCGTTTCTTTTTGAGGATCGATTAAACCCTTTAAACAATATAGATCATTATTTACATTGAAAAGTATTAAAATGTATACAGTAAATTTTAACAAATTCGACAAAACCATAGATTAATAATAGTTCTCGAAATAACCATAGACAATAAAAATTTCATTGTCTATGGTTATCGGCGGGGTGGATGTTTCTGTACATGAAATTGTCACAATTAAAATTGTGTTAAAGTTAGCACTATGGAGAATGTAACACTTGTCGTACCTATATTTCGCCTTGCTTATTAGAACACGGCAGAGGGCGATTTTAACGTCGTCGCTCTACAATATTTAAAAAAAAAAGTATATATTAAAGAAATAAACTCTCACCTTTAGAACTAAATGTACTTCAATCTTATCTGAGACGGTTAAAATCGAACATCCTATAGGAGGCTGCTCATCAGAGAGCTCACTGTTGGACAGCGATTGGAGACTCCTGAACAAACTCTTCAGCTCCTCTGCTCTAGGGTCTGAGATTATTAGGTGGACGGTTGTCTTCTGTTTGTTGGTAATATTGTACTCGGAGCGAGTGGATCTGATTAGATGGACCATCTTCATTACTGTGTCCACAGAAGATTCTAGATCCTCCGAACGCCATGGAGACTCTGCGTCCTGGAAACATAAAAACAAATCAGTTTGTTAATAAATGGATACGTAATTTTTTTTATACAACTTAGAATGGCAAACAAGCTGACGGCCCACCTGATGGAAAGTGGTAACCGTCGCCTACAGACATGAGCAGTACCATGGACATAACAGAGTATACTGTTTCGCCCATAACACCTCCCGTGCGGTGCCATTCCTGAGGACTCAGGTGTTATTCCTCTGTACCCAGTAAATTCACGCCATATCCATACGATTTTACAATTTTGATAAAATTTCTATGAGACCAATCTGAAAGTATATTTGGTATATTGGGTACAGAGACCCAGTAAATTCACGCCATATCCCACCCTTCAAACCAAAACACAGTCATGAAAACACAACTACTTCACGGTTGAAACATGAATGGGACAGAGGTACCCAAGCAATCGACTTTTGTACAAAGTCTCCCTCTGTCTTCCGCAAATTAATATTTATTTCAGTAAAATAAACTGGATACTCACAGTGGGATAACTGGCGACACATATAGACGGACAGGACGTGTCGGCTCTGGGCAGCCGCTGGTACAGCTCCTCGGTAACGAATGGCATGAATGGACTCAGCAGCTTCAGTCCATACTCTAGTGTGGTGTACAAGGTACGGCGCGCTGCCGCCTTCTGGCCCTCGCTGCCTTGGGTGAATACTGGTTTCAGGTACTCCTGGAGAGATAATTGGAATCAAATTGAAATCATCATATATATATATATACACTCCTCGCAAAAATTAAGGGAACATAAAAATTATTGAAATTTTTGGGTGATTTTCAACAGGCTGTATTTCAGTGAAAAATAATCGTACAGGAAATTTAAAAAAAGGGTTTTGAAGCTTAAAAACTCTAGTTTTCAGATTTTTTGGTGAAAAAATTTTTTGAGCTCCGGTTTCTATGCAATTCTTAAACAAAGCTGAAAATAATTTTTTTCTAAATTTTCTAGGTTTTGTTTTTTACTCTATGGGCATGGAAAAATTTTTTCGAGCTACTCCATTGTATAGGTCTCTTAGCGTGTTTATTCAGCTTCAAAAATCGCTTTGGATGGCTCAATTACGACCATTTGTCTCCGAGATATCGAACTTTGAATGCAAAAGCATCCTTTTCCATTCAACTGCTAATATCTCTGGAACTACTGGTCGCACAGCAAGCGGGCGCCGAGTTTCTTTATCTGCATAAAATTTTCTTGATTTTTTTCGATTTTTTTTTTGATAATGAATTTTTAAAAAACAAAAAATTGAGTAAAAAGTGAAAAACAAATGAAATTATTGATTTTTGAATGGATTAGGGTGAGTTTAAGGGACAAAAACCTTGTTCCCTTATTTTTTCCAAAATTTCAATCAATTGGTTCGGGAAAAACCGTTGAACCGATCGCTCCAGGGATTTGGGGGGTTCTTTAAGGAACAATAGACTGTAAAATTTTCCTCAAACCTTAGCTTTCCCGCCCATATTAGCGAAGATACAGCCAAGTAACCAAAAAAGGAGAAAAAGTCACTTTTTTCCACTTTTTTCAATTCAATGTTAGAGGTGGAAAAAAAATTTTTCTTCACTAACTCTTGACTGTGCTTAATTGGAAATTTTATGCAGATAAAGAAACTCGGCGCCCGCTTGCTGTGCGACCAGTAGTTCCAGAGATATTAGCAGTTGAATGGAAAAGGATGCTTTTGCATTCAAAGTTCGATATCTCGGAGACAAATGGTCGTAATTGAGCCATCCAAAGCGATTTTTAAAGCTGAATAAACACGCTAAGAGACCTATATAATGGAGTAGCTCGAAAAAATTTTTCCATGCCCATAGAGTGAAAAACAAAACCTAGAAAATTAAGAAAAAAAATATTTTCAGCTTTGTTTAAGAATTGCATAGAAACCGGAGCTCAAAAAATTTTTTCACTAAAAAATCTGAAAACTAGAGTTTTCAAGCTTCAAAACCCTTTTTTTAAATTTCCTGTACGATTATTTTTCACTGAAATACAGCCTGTTGAAAATCACCCAAAAATTTAAAAAATTTTATGTTCCCTTAATTTTTGCGAGGAGTGTATATATATATATATATATATATATATATATATATATATATATATATATATATATATATATATATATATATATATATATATATATATATATATATATATATATATATATATATATATATATATATATGTATGTATGTATTTATGTATAGTCAATTAACATACAATAAATAAAACATTATTACATTGAAACAAATAGGTACAAATACAATTAAATTTTCTCACTGAAAAATTCCTGTAGTAGTGTATAATAACCTTTTGTAATTAAATATTTTTTTAGAGCTATTTTAAACTTTTTAGAATCATCCTCACCTTTTAAGTTCATTGGTGTTTTATTGTAAATTTCACTTATCATCGCTCACTGATGTCCCGCCAACGTTTATCATTCCCCCACTGAAACTGGACTTGTAATTTTGAAAATTATGAATATATATATATATATCCATATTAATATATATTTCCCAAAGAGGGTTGACGTCAGGCAGGTGGTCGGTCGTAAAACTATAAACCAAATCTTTTTGTAATATGGATAAAATCATATTACGCCGACCCCAAATGATTGGGATAAGGGTAAGAAGATGATGATCCATATTAATATCTCGGTAAACTCACCAAATATACATCACAGAGGTCATACAACCACAAGTTGTAGCAGTGCGTGGTGGCCGAGGGGAACTCGTACGCCTTGAAGCCAGCGTTCACTCGGCTCACGGCGAGGGACAGCCGCGACAGCATCCAGCGGTCCATCGGACTGAGATCACTCGGTAACGTCGGCTCGTGGACCTACCAGTCAATTTCTAATATAAATATATAAACTATTTATTTATATAAACCAGAGGAAGACTTTGTACTTTGTTTGTGTTTTATTGTGACAAAACCAGTTAGTTTGGTCTAAAAATTGAACTACTGAACTGATTTTGATAAAATTTCTATAGAAACAAATTGTATTTTCTTTCAGATAAAAAAGAATTATTTAAATCCATTTAGAACTGACAGAGTTATGAGGTAACAAACATAAAATAAATACAACTCAATTGCGAACCTTCTTATTTTAATATTTTTTTTTTAATACAAGAAAACAGACGGCTTTTTAAATATAATTAATAGTCTCGTTACCTGATAAGTGGTGCCTTGTGGGAAATACATGAGTGCGAACTTGGTTGCGTTCCACAGTTTGTTGCAGAAGAACCGGTAGCCTTGTACGCGCAAGATGTCCAAGTTCAAGTCGCGACCTTGAGTCATTGCACATAATGCAAACCTGGTGGATAGCATACACAATAGACACTATTATAAATCTCTCCAGAAGATTACAAACATATTAACCATTAACAGTCCACTGTTGAACATAGGTCTTCCCCTTGGGAGATTTTGCCAGTAGTTACCACGCTTGGCGGGCGAGTTGGCAACCACAATTAGGTCCTGATGATATTTTAAGAGGGGTGTTGCTGCCCACTCCTCAAGTATTAAACTCCCTTAGTCGTCTCTTACGACACCCACGAGAAAGGAAGAGGTGGCAGATTCTATGCTGAAACCACATGGCAATTAAGTTTTACAGTAAAATATAAATATTTTCAAAATATAAAAATCTTATTCTAATAAATGTGTGATTGATAAATTTCGAAGCGGAAAGAATTTAAACTCGCACCTTTAACACCATACTTAGGGGTCAGTATTTTGAGCTATCACTATCATACATTAAAGTATGTTTATAGTAGACTTAACAAGAATTGACCCTTCTTTGCATAATGGTGGAAATTTCCATCATAACATTGAATGCCCAAAAAATATTTAAAAGAACAAGTTCACTTTAAGTTGATCGTGTCTGGATACCTTTTTAATGTCCATTGCAGAAAAAAAACGTAGCTGTCAAATTTATTTTTTTAATAATTTTTCTTTAATTTTAAACATGAATTACATCACCTCGATTTATTTTACCAATAAAAAACATCATGCAAAGTTTGCTATTTGATAGTTATTTATTGCCTCTAGGTATTAATATGACGGAGAGAAATAAAACACACCTGGATCGGATCACTTCTATTTGTAGACAAGATCAGTTACCCGCCAAATATAATTATTATAAAAATCTCGGTGTACCGACATACATCACACAAAGAAGGGTTAAATCCAATGGAACGTTTCACTCGAGGAAACGAGGGTCGAAAAATAATCATTTATACTGACGTGACAGCCAGACGAACGCACCTAGTTATGATTTCCAATATTTTTTGTCATTTTTCGAACAATGTTTATTTGTTGGAAAAAAATATCGATTTATTGAACAGAAGTAAGAAAAAAAAATCTAATGATTTCGACTTTATATTATATAGTAATTCTCTTTTTCTACTTTATTTTTTATTTTTTTCAGTATTAATTATTATGGATATGTAATAACAATAAGATTTAAGGTTCGGTAACACGCACGTTATGTCCTTGGTGTTACAGGCTTCCATAGACTACAGAACACAGTTTACCATCAGACGAGCCGTATGTTTATTTGCCATCGCAGTACTATAAAAAATAAATATTGTCTGTTGTAAAAAAAATATGGGTAACACTCGTAATTTTACTCCAATACTCTTAAAAAAAAAACAGTTACACACATCTGTTAAGCATAGCAATATAAACCTATTTAAAAAATATATCTTGTATTGGTACATGGTATTTAAAATTCACCTTAACGCATCAGTACCACACTCGGGTATGCCGTTAGGATAGTCCTGCTTCTGGCCTTGCTTCGCCTTCTCGATCTCCTTAGGGTCCAGGTTGGACTCGGCCAGTTGCTCGTGCAGCTGTTCAAGTGTGACCCCCCGCACCACGTCCACGGGGTCGATGACATTGCCCAGGGATTTGGACATCTTGCGGCCGTGGGCGTCGCGGACCATAGGGTGGAGATAGACTTCCCTGAAAATAAATGTTTGTTGGAGAAATCTCGACTTTATTCCTATGTATATATAGTTGAAATTATTATTAAAAGCTATTTATTTTATAGAGCTTCCCAAAGACTCGCCCCTTTATTATAAATAAAAACATCGAATGTTCCATAAACCTAATCAGTTATTGAAGTGTTTTGTCTTTTTCTTGCATGCTAAATTCCCAATTTGAAGGAAAGTGACAACCTCACTAATAGTTAAAATAAGGTTTGTGTGAGGCTTTACTTTTTAAGATTTTTTTTTAAAGGAATATTGATATCCGATATCAACATTCTTTTTAAGACTGGATGCTTGCAATTTCTATTTCACCTATGAAACACAATAATTACTTACTTGAATGGCAACTTGCCCAACAGTCGTTGTCCAAAGAATACCATCCTCGCCACCCAGAAAAACAGAATGTCATGCCCAGTCTCTAACAGGCTGCCCGGGTAGAATGCCTGCAACGAATAGTGCATTAAAATATGATAGACTAGCGACCAGCCCCGGCTTCGCATGGTTGTTTATATACAATATACTGTAAAGAACCAGAGTATGTTTTTTCTAGATTTTGAAGTCTGCTCTTTTAATATTCAATAACCTACTCCTTTAGTAAATTTTTAGTTGAATAAATTTTTTATTAACAATTTTATTTGCTTAATAATGCATAAAATATACTGACCTTGAGATCCTCAGTCTCATCAGGCCACCCGAAGATCGAGAAGGGAAACAGTCCTGACGAGAACCACGTGTCAAGTACATCCTCATCTCTAGCCAGCTGGATCTGATCTCGGGGCACATCCAACTTCGCAGCTGCCTTGGACAACGCCTCTTCCTCCGTGTGTGCTGATACCCATATCTCGTCTTGTTTCTTCTGTACAGAAAATAAGAAATATTGTGTTAATAGTGAAATTTTAACCATCTTTAAAAAATAAAGCCTATTTTATCTTTAATTTTTTTTAATCTACATTGTACATGTTAATAATACATACAGATACACATTTAGAAGTGAAACACGTGTCGCAAAACGTGCGTGGACGAAATGGCAGTCGGAGATTGATGGCTAATATAGAAGGTTGTAGAACTTCTAGTAATAATAAAAGTAGTCAATCTTCGAGTGTTGCCAGTCGCACACATACTAATGGTAGCGGAATTAAACAATATAATTTTAATTAAATAACCAGACATATAGATACATAAAAACAAATATACAAAGGCGAGTTTAACTCTGCAATAGTTTTCTTCCAGCAAACCCAAAGTAGAAAGAAGCATCTATTTCCGCGGATAAATTTTGCGCCTACTTCATATTGTACTTCGGTATTTTTCAAATACTTTATATCCATCAAAATTAAAATATTTCCAATAACAGATTAAAAAGAATATTATTAGAAAATAAAGTAATTACAAACAGCAATAGGACTACTAACTTAGCTATTAGCAATAAATATATACATTATAAATATTATAAATATATTGGGCCATTCTCAACCTTAGCACTTAAAAATTAGGTTCCATAATTCAGCAGATGTTGATAACTTTTTTTTTTTACACAACTTAGAATGGCAAACAAGCTGACGGTCCACCTGATGGAAAGTGGTAACCGACTATAGACATGAGCAGTACCGTGGACATAACAGAGTATACTGTTTCGCCCATGATACCCTCCATGCGTTGCCATTCCTGAGGACTCAGGAATGGCACGCATATATATATATATTTCTTGTTTCACACAAGGATACGCTGTTTTATTCTAATTCATGCTGGTAAAATTAAATATTATGGCTAATAAAAATATAAAGAACGAAACATATTATAAATATACATTAAACAATATAAAATTACAAATTTTTTATACTTTTGTGTGAGAAAAGTATTCAGATTATGGGTCCTTTGGTAAAGTCCAATTCAAATTCGACTGTACCGACGATACGTATAAGTTACAATAATTTATAAATTGAAAAACATTTCTATTCATTAGTACTGCCATATTTGAAATAGATAATAATATAAACATAATATAGCTACATAACTAAAAAAAAACAAAAAATAACAACACTATTATAAAGAACAATACTATTAGAAAATCTATATAAATATGTAACCGGAATTTTATAAACTGACGGTTTGTCATATCCTTCTCATCGGGAAGTTAACTACAAGGGGGCATACGTCGCTTTGCGTCGTAGGCTCGTTTTGCGTCGGAAACGATAAAAACAGTATCTTCATAAAATATACGGGATATATATAGAATATACATATATAAACGGGAGTTATATATTTATATAGATATCGTGCAAAATAGAACATATGTTTTAATCCTTTTAGTGCCGGGAGCCGATATATCGGCTCCTGCTACACTTGCGAAAAATACCAGAGTCGATATTGCATTGCGTGAGAACTCTCTCATAATAAATTTGTAATGCGTTATAAATGATCTAATTTCATTACAAGATAATTAAAAAAAATATTTTTTGTTTGAACTCTTTGTGAACGACGTTTTTCCTATCGCTTGTAAAACTGCGCAATTCGGCACAGGCATCTCTATTTCGCCCGGCACTAAAAGAAGTTAAAAAGGCTATTAGTAAATCGTGCAACATTCAATTACAAATTAAAAAAAATTAAACAAAAATATTAATTATTTCACGCAACACAACTTCTTTCGCACATGCCATGATATATATGTATATGTAGGATTGTTTTCGTTGAAAAAAGAATGCATATAATGTAACGCAATTATAATTTTAAAGGAATACATGATCGCATCTTCAAGTGGCCTTCATTAATACCCTGATTTCAAACTGTTGTTAGTCTTTCAAGATCGTATTTAGTGATAGCGTTCAGGATGCGATCTGGTCATGTTCCACTAAACACATTTTATCATCTTATAGGAATTAAACAATCACCAAATTGTATGTATTGTGACAAAAGTGAAAAAGTGGAAGACCTTCTACATTTGCTGGTGGAATGTGGCCGTAATTGTAACCTGAAACAGCGGATTCTGGGCGATATGCCATTATATAACGGTAATGTCAATTTAATACAGAGTCAACCTGGCAGTTGCAATGCAAGACGGCTATATCTGTGGGTAAAGGTGTCCCTGACGGACTGACAGTCTGACTTTCAGCAATCCCTATGAGTCTGGCATAGTCACTCCGGTGTGCTAAAGCCTCAACAAAAAATTGATTAAAAAAATCTTTAAGTGAAAGAGAGGGCCAGTGTGCGAGAGAGTGGGATGAATGTATTATCTTTCTGCTGTATCATTGTTCATCGGATGACATTACGATTTAGAGAAACAAGCTATAAAAATGCATATTTGTAAAGACGAAAAATAAAGATGTTCTTTTTAAAAAAAAATTGTTTTATGAAAAATATCAATCCCACATATATATATATATATATATATATATATATATATATATATATATATATATATATATATATATATATATATATATATATATATAAACCAAAAAAGAAATCAAACACTGGCATGCTTGAGGTACACGTCAATTTAATATATTTAGTTCTACCTCTCTAATAATTACAACATTGAAAATAAAATTATTAAAGTACGGTACACGTGCTAAGAATACTCGCTACGATAAGTAAGCCAAATCACATATTTCATAAGACAGAACTTGAGGGTTGCCATCAACTCTTTATACCCATTACTCCGATTACGAAAAAAAAAATTTATGAAAGTATCTCGTCAAAATAACTTTAGGGTAATGAATTTATAATGATTTAATTTACTTGGTAGTGGGGTGAAAGGGATTGTTAATAATGGAGACTAAAAATCCCATTGCTAACAATATACCCAACCAGGTCGACCTCCTCGCGGTTCCCCCTGGAAACTATCATGGTTAATTCCTGATGAATTTATCATGATGGGCTAACTGGCCTGTTTTCATTCTCATCTATCACCCTTCACTGGTGCTCCGCCAGCGTATCCCGTTAGCGCAGGCGGGGTTACCATACCATGTTCACTTATAAAATATACTTGGTAGTAGGGCTGGGTAATATATAGCAATATCTAAATATATTAGTCCAATAACGGATATGGTAAAAGTCTATTATCCAAAAATTAATATTGTATAACTTTTAACATATTCGAAAATAGATATCTAACCGACATGGGCAATACTGAAATGGATGACCTCTTTTCTGTCACAAATTATATTATATATAAATATAGTATTCATATCTATAGGTAACAGTTACCGCTCTCTAGCCATATGGGCCAACGCGTCATCTTGTTTGTCATTTTATCTTAAAAAAATAGTATGACTCCTAAAAATGGGGTTATAACTAAATCGATATGATGGCAACCCTGAGCTCAAGCATAGTGACAAGCGCCAGCGGAGCGGTGGGCATACACATACAGTAGTACCGCTAGGGGGCAGCAGGCGGCGCGCGCGGATGCGGCCGCTCTTCTTGCGCCCGGACCGTGTGCGACGTCGGCGCGGGGCCGTTTTCGTTCGTTCCGCTCGATCTTCGTCCTTATCGCAGTACAAATAAATTCTCTATTTGCTTACGATAACGTTCGTAAAATTTGAATATTTAGAAGAGTTTCTTTTTTTAACATAAAAATAGTGATAAATTAAAATAATAGTATATAACTGCAGCAGCCAGCAACTGAGGCATTGATAGACGAACGTGCAAATGTGGGCCGAGGCGTAGCCGAGACACACATACGTGAGTTCATCAATGACTAGTTATGGCCAAGGCTTGTATAGTACTTTCTCAAACAATGCGCGGAAATCATAAACACAATTTTACTTTTTAAGTTCAATGACGAATAACGAACAATAATAATTTTTCACGCGACATAGTGTTCCTTTGTTTTTTTTTTTTTCAATAAACAGCTTTCTATTTGCAAACCAGTTCGAAATTTAAATAAAACCTTTTATTAGTTACCTCCTTGGTAGTTATGTTTCCAAGTAAAAGGTCATTCCATTTTTAAATTATAGGGCAGATATGAGTTTACATAGTAATTTATCTGGCCGCAAAACACGACAGATATGGATTTTCATACAACTTTTGCCGGCCGCTGCCCGCATGTATCTGGCCAGTACGGCAATTTTGATTTATCTCTAAGAAGATTGTCAAAATAATGCTCATATTCCAAGCATGCTTGAGAAAATTATATTACATATTAAATTCAAATATAGTTGATATGTTATATTTCTTGATCGATTGATTTCTTCCATACTTTTCTCAAATCAATTATATCATCAAAAAAATATAAGAAATATTTAATTTTTTTATTGTTCCTCGTATACATTTACAATCTTAGATAAAATACCTGATTTTTATATACAATATCTACCAAAAACTATAAATCAGTATAAATATCTACCTTCTAACTTTATACATGAGTACATAATTAAATATATGGTATTTGTATATTCTGAACGACTCACCTGTTCGGGAGCTACCACTCTGTAGGCGGGTATCCGGTGGCCCCACCACAGTTGCCTCGAGATGCACCAATCTCGGATGTCCTCCATCCAGTGGTACCATATCTTCTCGTGCACCTCTGGGATGATCTTCAACTCACCACTCTTCACCGCTTTTATGGCCTCCGCCGCCATTTTATCACATTTTATGTACCTGGAATAGATTAGTTTAACAATTATTAAACACGATGGTTTCCAGGGGGAACGGCATAGAGGTTAACCTGATAGGTAATATTGCTAAGAACGGGGCACATTACTAAAAATGCATTTCCCCTATTCTGGTCTGTTTACTTGTTTGCCTTCAACTATTTCTAATGGCCTATATTATTAATACTTCTTTTTTTTTTATTCAACTTACAATGGCAAATAAGCTGACGACCCACCTGATGGAAAGTGGTAACCTTAGCCTATAGACATGAGCAGTACCATGGACATAACAGAGTATACTGTTTCCCCCATGATACCGCTCATGCGTTGCCATTCCTGAGGACTCAGATGTTATTCCTCTGTACCCAGTAAATTCACGCCATATCCCGCCCTTTAAACCGAAACACAGCCATGCAAACACAACTGCTTCACGGTTGAAACACGAATGGGACAGAGGTACCCAAGCAATCGACTTTTGTACAAAGTCTCCCTCTGGTAATATATTAATGGGAAGTAGCAATGACATACCACTGTGGTTTGAGCATGGGCTCCACGACGTCCTTGGAGCGGCTGCACAGCGGCACCACCATAGGGTTGTTCTTCGTCTCGCGGTACAGCTTGAGCTGTTCCAACGCTTTGATGATACTGCGGCGGACGTCGAAACGTTTCATGCCCTGTATAAAATAAAAGTAAGCATAACTATCAGTTCTTGATAGTTGATAAGTATGCGGACAAGTGAGTAGTACACGGGTTAGTATTGCACTGTTTTATTAAATGACAAGTATCAAGGTCGTAGTGGGCGTACACACACGTATACGTATATATAGCTAAGAGTACATACACAACAATAACTATTATTATTGTTATTACAAACTAGCCGTTTCCCGCAGCGTTGCCCGCTTCTAATTATGCAGTTCTCGTATATCATTCCCATCGGAACTCTTCATGAATCCGGTTGTATTTTTTTATACCACTGTGGTGACAAACAAGCATACGGCCCACCTGATGGTAAGCGGTTACCGTAGCCTATGAACGCCTGCAATACCAGAGGTATTACGCGCGCGTTGCCGACCCTAATATTGTATTATATACGTAAATGATAATAACGCACCTAATACCTTCACAAAGTTTCAGCCAATTCAACCGATCGGTTATTTTATATGTGATTCTTTAGATTGATATAACTTTTTTATTTATGAACCGATTGAAATAAAATAAACACTTAATGTTACGTGGAGTAAACCGCAACACATTAGTGAAAACCGCGTTCAAATGGGTTAAGCTGTTCCTGAGATTAGCACACACAAACGTACAGACAAACAGACAAAAATTCTAAAAATCACTGCTTTCGTTTCTATTGCGTTCATAAAGCCCCCTACAATAGTTTTTTTCTTATATATTTCCCATGTACAGACAGCGACCAGTTATAATTTTATTATATGTATTGATGATTATGTGTGAAAGATGATATGGCCAGAATGGGAGTGAATGCGGCAATGACTGCGAACAGAGAAGAATGGAAGACGAAAACGCATTACGGTGACCCCAAATAGTAATTGGGATAAGGGTAGGAACATAATGATATTATTATTATTATGAATAGTTAAATGCTTTAATGAATATACTAATATAATAAATGTGAAAACGAGTTTTTTCACATATTTATGTATTTACAAACAGTATATCGCGGCTTTATCCACACGAATCGGTAGATAAAATAACCTGTATGCTAAGTTACGATATAACCTACTCGTATACTAAATTTCATTCAAACCCGTTCAGTAGTTTTCGCGTGAAAAATGAACAAACATCCATCCAGCCTTACAAATTTTTGCATTTATAATATTAGCATGATTACCTTTTGGCGTCTTAATGCCCCAATCAAATTTGCGAGTAATAACTTGGGAATTCTATAAAAAAAAGAGTGTACAAGATAGTTTCAACTCCCATACTAAAATAAAGCGTTCAGTTTCACTGGCAAAACGCCCCTTTAAAGAGATATAAATTATTCACATTTCGCCCTGCAGGTAAGGTTGCCAACATTTTTTCAGCTACAAAATATTGTACATTTAAAAAAGAATATAGTATATCTTGGAAACATTTAAATAAGACGAATTAATGCAAAAATAGCCATTTGTTTTTATAAAACCTCCACTATTTTATACTTCTTGCATTCTTTTACAATCTTTTGTTCACAAAGAAAGTACCATATGCTTTCTTGCATTGAATATTTATATTAATTATAGTACGGTTGCCAACCCTACCTGTATATACATACTAAATAAAAAAAAATTTTTTTTTTATACAACTTAGAAGGGCAAACAAGCTGACGGCCCACCTGATGGAAAGTGGTAACCGTCGCCTATAGACATGAGCAGTACCATGGACATAACAGAGTATACTGTTTTGCCCATGATACCCCCCCCCCCCCCTCCATACGTTGCCATTCCTGAGGACTCAGGTGTTATTCCTCCATACCCAGTAAATTCACGCCATATCCCACCCTTCAAATCAAAACACAGCCATGCAAACACAACTGCTTTACGGTTGAAACACGAATGGCACAGAGGTACCCAAGCAATCGACTTTTGTACAAAGTCTCCCTCTGGTGAATTAATTGGTGAATTAAACAGCTGTTAGTTGTTCCAACAAAAAAAAAATAATGACACTCTTGAAATATTACTTACGGAGAACTGAGCGCAGTTGTCCAGCATTTTGCCCTCATCGTCGAAGATGGTGATGAACGGCAGGTTGTGCCGCTTGCCGATCTCGTAGTCGTTCGGGTCGTGGGCCGGGGTGATCTTTACAGCACCTAGAATAATAAGTTTTATGATAATTCGTAATATTTTTTTTTAAGAAACTTGAAAGTACAAATGACCTGCATACTGACGCCCTGCGTCGCCTATAGACATGAATTAGATTGCAAGCAGGTTGAACTACCCTGTTATAGGGCATCAAATGGAGAAACCAGGTCCCCGACACTTTGGCGCGGCGAGGTGCCGTGGTGGTTTTAGCCGGTAGGAGTCCAGCAGTACCTATGCGCCTCCCCCGGGGCATATGGGTCTGCATGATGCATTTCCCCACGATAAAAAAAAGGGCATCAAATGAAATATTTCAGTGGTGACAAACTTTGCGTATTATTTGTGCCTTTATTCATTTAATTTACTATAAGGTGTACTAACATTAGGCTATGATTATATTACTAACAAATTAGGCCATTGTAGACTGTAATAAAAAAAATATTTTTAAATTATTACTCTTTTTCATACATACACTTACATTACATACTATATAATAATACCCACTTTAACTTGCCTAGTTTGCTTTAGAATTATAATTTTTGTTTGTATAATCAAAATCTGTTATTGGCTGTATTTATAAGAGACTTGGCATGTAAGTTATTTTTAATAGCTTTGGATTTAGTAGTAGTTGCCACACTTGGAAGATAGGTTGGCAACATCAGTTAGGTTTGGTGATGTTTAAGAGAGATGCTGCTACCCATTCCTCCACCATTAAGTTCCCTTAGTCGACTCTTAAGACACGCACAGAAAAGGAAGGGGTAACCCATTTTATGCCGGGACCATACAGCAGTTTCGAGAAATAAATAACAATAATAGTACATTACTGCAGTGGCCAGCAACTGAGGCATTGATGGACGAATGTGCAAATGTGGGCCGAGGCGTAGCCGAGGTACAAATACTACATACATGGCTACCAAGGAGGTAACTAATAAAAGGTTTTATTTAAACTTCGAACTGGCTTGCCAATAGAAAGCTATTTATTAAAAAAAAAAAAAAAAACAAAGGAACATTATGGCGCATGAAAAAATATTATTGTTCGTTATTCATTATTAGTTATTATTTAGTTGAAAAAAGTACTATACAAGCCTTGGCTACAACTAAGCATTGATGGACTCACGTATGTGTGCCTCGGCTACGCCTCGGCCCACATTTGAACATTCGTCCATCAATGCCTCAGTTGCTGGCCGCTGCAGTAATGCACTATAAAACCGCTCACCTGTTCCGAAGTTCATGTCCACATAATCGTCCGCGATGACTGGCAATTTCCGCTTGCAGAATGGATGCACTAAGTGTTTTCCAAGCAAATGCTTATACCTGTAGTTTTAGTTTTTACTATATCAATTTCATTGTATTAAAAGTTATTTTCCAAAACCCCTCCCTCCATTAATCCATAACATCAATTAGTACTAAAACTGTCAAGCTTTTTTTGTTACGTATTTTGATGTCGATCAATTATATATCGATGACTGAAATTTACAACTATATTTTTATAAACTTATAAAACTTTTATTACCAATGACATGTATATCCAATGATTAGATAGAAATAAAGCATGATAAAATGACTAACATGTATTCACAAACATATCGTCATAGTCGTAGAATACTGACGGATCTGACAAAGATTACATATATAGATCCGTCAGTATTCTACGACTATGACGATATTACATTTAACATACCTAGTGTCATTAGGGTGTACCGCCACGGCGACGTCTCCGAGCATTGTCTCGACGCGCGTGGTTGCCACCACCACCTCCTCATCTGAACCCTCCACTTTGTATGCGAATAATACAAGAACGCCAAACTCCACCTACAAAGAATATGTAGAATTTTCACATCTAAGCAGAAGGAACCGAGTGTTTTTTTTTATACAACTTAGAATGGCAAACAAGCTGACGGTCCACCTGATGGAAAGTGGTAACCGTCGCCTAACAGAGTACGAGTATATACTGTTTCGCCCATGATACTCCCCATTCCTGAGGACTCAGGTGTGTCAAAGATCTATTGTTAACATACATACATCTCTTACGTCTTGCATTTTCATAACTCGTCTCATGTATGCACCTGCACATTGATAGATAGATAGATAAACACTTTATTTGAGCCATTTATGACACACGTAAATTAACAAATGAGTTTATACAAGCAAATTATTTAAACTTTTTTTTTAATATAAAAAACAAAAGATAAAATACGAAAATATGTTTCCCCCAAGTGTGCCAGAGTGACCCAAATAGGTTACAGCTCAGTGATAGTTTTCAGTTCAGAATAGTTTCAGTGATAGTGATAGATTACGATTTTTCCATCTAGTGTGTGTGTGTATATATATATATATATATATATATATATATATATATATATATATATATATATATATATATATATATATATATATATATATATATATATATATATATATATATATATATAAATAGGTAATATAGATACCGATACGATATCTATATATCGGGTTTCTCTGGATATTGACGGTCATTTCGATATCGCCTTTATTGGCCAGATATCTATTTTCGAATAAGTTAAATGTCTGTTATACAATATTATTTTTTGGATAACAAACTTTTATCATATTCTTTATTAGGCCAATATAAGGATATTGCTATATATATATATATATATATATATATATATATATATATATATATATATATATATATATAATATATTTTAATGGGTGATAATGAAATAGTAACCCCGCCTGAGCTATCGGTATACGCTGGCGGGGGACCAGTGAGGGATGATATGTGACGATGAAAGCAGGTCAGTTAGCTCATCGTAACGAATTCCACTAGAATTAACCACGATGGTTTCCAGAGGGAACCGCGTGGAGGTCAACCTGATAGGGTATATTGCTAGCAATGGGTTCATTAAACCCTATTACTAACAATCCCTTTCCCCCATTGCTATATATTACCAACCCTTACTGTATACCAATTATTTTTCTACAAGTACCTTCTGCTCATAACCGGGTATCGCCAGCATCGTTCGTTCAGCAATAGTGATCTTGTCTACTTCAATATCGGATATAGCACTTTTGAGAGCACACGACCAGTTGACCATGCGGTTCGCCCGGTAGATGTCGCCGGCGTCGTGGAGCCTTATGAAGGCCTCGTTGACGGCTCGGCACATGGATGGATCCATGGTGAACCGTACGCGGGACCAATCGAACGAGGAGCCCAGTGAACGGAGCTGCTCGTAGATCCTATCGCCTTTTCTGTTTTACAATAGAAATTTATACACTTACAATTAGTTTTTGGTGGATGAAAATGGTATGGTAACCCCGCCTGCGCTAACGGGGTACGCTGGCGGAGCACCAGTGAAGGGTGATAGATGAGAATGAAAGCAGGCCAGTTAGCCCATCATGATGAATTCATCAGGAATTAACCATGATAGTTTCCAGGGGGAACCGCGAGGAGGTCGACCTGGTTGGGTATATTGCTAGCAATGGGATTTTTAGTCTCCATTACTAACAATCCCTTTCCCCCCACTTACAATTAGTTGAAAAGGTCGAAAATCTTTATTCCTTGCTCCTCCAACCTACAGGTTGGAGGAGCAAGGAATAAAGATTATTTTTCTATCATAGAGGAGTCAAACGAGCGTGCGGCTCATTTGATGGTAAGTGACCACCGCCGTCCACGAGCACCCGCAAAATTGGCGAAATCTAAGGATGCTACCGACCGTTTCAAGATTGAAGGTTACGATGTCTAACATAAAATCTGATGCATGTTTCGGTTTGATACACAATTTATAAAATGAAATTAAATATTTTGATAAACATACTAATATAATAAAACCTTAAATAGACGATGTCTCTATATAGGAGATATTTAAAAAAATATATATTTTTTTGGAAATTTTGTCTGTCTGTATGCTCGTTTTTCTGACAACTCAACTCAAAAACAACTGAACATAATTGAATGGCGTATTCACCAATTCCAAAAAGTTTAATTTAAAAACTTGTGTATGTTTTATTTTAATACATCATCTAGAAGAACTCTATATTATTATTTTCTATACCTCTGAAATTCACACGTATAAAATTGTGGGAAAAAAAGTAGGTTAATAAAAATCCCATAGGTGTATGGAACACAAGTTTCGAGTATTCAAGACTCCTGTTTTTTCACAAACTTTGATATTTTTAGCTAGTGAATATGTGAATTTACTGGGTACAGAGGAATAACACCTGAGTTCTCAGGAATGGCAACGCATGGGGGGTATCATGGGCGAAACAGTCTACTCTGTTATGTCCATGATACTGCTCATGTCTATAGGCGACGGTTATGACTTTCCATCAGGTGGGCCGTCAGCTTGTTTGTCATTCTAAGGTGTATAAAAAAAAAATAGCAAGTTTTTATAAGTAATACAATCAACTCACTGGTTTCTCCACTCCCAAACACGTTTAATGAAATCTTCCCTACCAATGTCATGCCTGGTCTTCTTCTCTTCTCTCCATATCTTCTTCTCCACTACAACTTGTGTTGCAATACCAGCGTGGTCACAGCCTGGGTTCCATAGTGTTGTGCGACCATTCATCCTGTTTTAAATATGATAAAAAAATCAAATTTTATTACACACAGATATTTATGTATTTATTTTTTAAATAATTATTAAATCTAGAACCTAATTTATTTATTTGCACCATTTATAAAATTAATTTACAGCAGTATGAGTTGATATTTCTACATGTAAAGACATTTTATTTTGTATAAGTATGTTTATTTTGCTTGTATTTCTCCAAGTTACAAAGTTACCTTGTTTTCCCATGACATATCTTTATAATAATAATAAAAAAGCAATGCTTAGAATGGAACTCTATATAGAGTATAATGGACAGGTTGGCTAAAATTGAAACAGTGAATTTGGACTATTAGTATTTACCTATGCCATCTTGTGATGGCATCTTCAACAGCATTTGTGAGTGCATGCCCCAGATGTAAGGTGCCTGTCACGTTGGGTGGTGGTATCACCATCACAAATTTGCCTTTTGGATTCGGATCCAGGATGGATTTTCGCTGAAATGTGATAATAAAATTATGAAAAATAAAACTAATTTCACTGTAGGCTTCACTCAGTTTCTTCAATTCAGGGATGAGCATGGCCCATCTCCTTTTCAAGACTTTTTTTTATAATATATATATACATATACACCTGTATTATTAACTATTACTTTTTTTTCTTTAATCTGAATATTCTTTCTTCTCATTCTAGGATAGGAATCCTTTATTTGCTATAAGCCCCCTCAAGTTTTAAAGAATTACCATTATCCTTACTCTTATTTTCCACTCTTTACCTGCTGTAGCTATGATATTGTGATTATAATTTTCTAGGTCATCCTTGTCTGCTTTTTCTATTTTAACCAATCTACTTTGTTGCTTTAATTGTCCATCTTTTGTATTTGTATAAATAATATAGAAAGATATATAGAGTATAGTTTAGCAATATAAATATATGTTATATTTACCCCATATTCTGGTTTGAAAAAACCCTGCTTCTCCCACCAAGCATACCATGCAGCCTCTACATATTGAGGGCTATATGCATCAGGCATAGATCCTGAAGTATCCTTTTTATCACCAGGTGCTGTATTGGCTGTATATACTGCACTTTCTTTTGTTTCCTTAACCTTTTTCTGTTGATAGCAACATAAAAAAATATTAGAGTAAATATTAAAACTGAATAACATGGTTTACCACATAAACACAAGACATCAGAAAATCAAAATTAGATCACTTATAGAATAGCCATCTACTAAACAAGCAGATAGTTCTTTTAAAAAAATAATATTTATATTATTTTAAAAAATAATAAAATATATTTCAATGGCATAACAAATATTTTCTAAAATATAAAAGTATTATTTTCACATTTCAATTTATAATATATCTATTAAAATTAAAGTAAGAATATTATTTTTTTACAACACAGTATGGGAAACTAGCCAACTTCCCGCTGTACAGTTTGTGATAATTATTTCCTATATAAATGAGCCATCATGGACAATACACATGAAAAACACCATGAACAATGTATCATCATCATTTTCCTCCAGAAAAGATAGATTAGCTTTTAAAAGTATAAATAATTAAATCGTCAATTGCATAATTTTTTTTTACCACAAAAAAATAAGAAAAAGAAAAACTAATTAACACTGATTACCTATACCTATAAATTCAAATGCGTACGTCACAGTTTTGACAGTATATATCTGTAGAAAAAAAGATCAAAACATTCCCAATCCAAGAACAATTGTAATTTTTTAGAACCATATAATCTCAATTTCATTTCTTAGATGACAAAATAATAATAGTGCAATAATGATGCAAGTTAAAAAACAATTGCAAGCTTACCTTTCACCTAACATATTGAAGGTTTTATAATAACCTAAGTTACAACCTACCTTTAAGACATATTTTTGTGTTAACTCTAAATTTTAAATTTGTTATAATATATATCCAATCAAGACATTGTATAATTATGGGCTAAAATCAACATTAACTACCTCTGGTTTTTCTTTTTGCACAGCTGGCACTGAACTTTTTTTATCCAATTTTGCTTTGAGTTTCTCCAATTTTGCAGCCTTTTTCGCCTCCTTCTCTAGTTGTTTGGCGGTCTTCTCCGGTGGTTGTTCTCCGGGAAGACCATTCTGAGTCTCAGTGTCAGTCATAATTTACAAGAAAACGAAGAAATATTGTTCACAGAAAAGAAAGCACATTTGCAAATCGCAACAATTTGTCAGCGAGCCGTCTGGCAAGTGTCTAGTCTTTTTTAGTGTGTTGCCAATTTTGTACCACTTTTTCAAGCTAAACTGAATAAAAATTCCGGTCAAGCCTACGTTCAACATTTACTACAATAAAATAATCAGTAACTAAACTTTTGTTTTAATTAGATGAAAATTTATATTTACAACTTTTTTGTTGTGTTTCTTACATTAACCTAATAACTTTTATTACTGTAACTATAATTAGACTTTTGTTTTGCGTTGAACCATAACTGTGGTTTAATATTTGGACCGTATAAGAAACTTTGCTTTTAAAGATTTTTGCACAATTTCTTATGAAATATGCTATTTATTTATAATTATTTTTCTTCTGCGCAATTCATTCATTTATTAAAATAATTACAACATGCTAATATTTATTTATATCATTAAAAAATTTAAATATTGCATTAATTTATAATTAACAATAGAAAGAAAGGAAGGGAGAAAGGACAACAAAAATTGTAAACTATAGTACAATTAAACTAAGATACTAAAAAAAATCCTTTTATACTACTACACTTAAATTAGTAAGCCTATTTTAAAAGTTAGAATTCTCAAAATCCTCTATAAAAAAAAATCTTTTCAATTATTTGTAATAAAAGTAAGTCATAAATATCCAAATATATTCCAATTTTTAATTAATAGCGTTAGTAATTGAGGGATAGCATCATAAATATGCAAAGCAAAAGAACGAAGACACCTCATAAAGGTTATTTAGTTTGGGCCATTGTGTTATAAAATTTATTAAAATATATCAAAATAAATAAATTCATCAATTAGATTATTATTACAATATATTTTATAAAATATTTAAACTATATAAATAAATTAAAAATATTAAGTGGCAGATAAGATAAAAAGAATTTAATTAGCCCAAAATAGCTAAGTTAGAAACACTGTTCACCATTGTCAGACAGTTGCTTGTCACCAGTTGTCACTAGACATATTCTCTCTAATTTGTGGTTGTCACATTCATATAAAGATATTTTGGTGAACAGCGACAACGTTGTCAGTGACTAAGAACAAGAAATGATATACAAGGACTGATAAAATAAAAATTGTAAATCATATGGTTATCTCCTTCCTTATTATGTAAATATAATTAGTAAAAAGAGGACGAAAGATATATCATCAGTTGCTACTTTTGTCAATTCATAGTAGGCTAGTGTATAGAAAATATGTATATAAAATTTTTGTTCATTTGTCATATGCCAATAACAAAATATACATTATTAGATTGTATATTCGACACAGTTTATGTAGAAAGTATGCAAACAGGTTGTATCTGAATTTATAAGGGTTATACGGCCAATAAAACCAAGTGAGATATCTTTATGAATTTGATTTCTACGGACTAGTCAAAAGGCAGATGCGTTGTTATTTTTTTTTTTTTTTTTTTACAACACAGGGGGCAAACGAGCATGCGGCTCACCTGATGGTAAGTGACTACCGCCGCCCATGATCACCCACAACACCAGCGGCATTGCAGGTGTGCTGCCGGCCTTTTAAAAAGGAATATACTCTTTTCTTGAAGGTTATGTTGTCGTATCGGTTCGGAAATACTGCTGCTGGAAGTTGATTCCAAAGAATGGTTGTGCGTGGAAGAAAGTGCCTTGAAAAACGCACGGTGGAAGACCGCCACTCGTCCAGATGATTGGGATGAAACTTTAGTTTGTGGCGGGTTGTACGGTGGTGAAAATCAGCAGCAGGTATCAATCCGAACAATTCCTCAGAACACTCCCCATGATAAATTCGGTAGAAGATGCACAGAGATGCAACATCTCTGCGCAGCCTCAGTGGATCAAGTCGGACAGTAAGGCGTTGACTATCGATAATTCGAGCCGCCCGACTTTGAATGCGGTCTAACGGAAGGAGTTGGTACTGTGGCGCTCCTGCCCACAGGTGAGAACAGTATTCCATATGCGGCCTGACTTGGGCTTTATATAATTTCAGGCGGTGTTCTGGCATGAAATATCGTCTCACCCTATTGAGCACTCCTAACTTCTTGGAAGCTATCTTAGCCTTCTCCTCCAGATGACCGCAAAACTGGACGTCGCAAGATATATCAACGCCCAGAATTCCTAGACTCGACTTTTTATCAAGGGAAGTGCCCTGAAAGTGAGGAGATACGACAAACGGCGTCTTTTTTGCGGTAAACGCGCAGACTTGTGTCTTTTTGGGGTTAAATTGGACAAGATTTTGTTCACCCCAGATCGAAACTTGATGGAGTGAAGTTTCGATTTCAGACACAAGTCTATTCCGGCACTCATCGGTATGTGCCCGCGAGATCCTTGCATGACCGGTATATAATGTATCTCCTGTACTGTCGTCTGCATAGCAATGAATATTACTTATCTGTAACATATCATTGATATGCAGAAGAAACAGAGTCGGAGACAGTACACAGCCTTGCGGGACACCAGCATTCAAAGGTTTTAAATCAGAGCATGCTCCGTCGACTACGACCTTAATGCTACGTTCCTTGAGAAAACTGGCGACCCAAATGCACAGTCTCGCAGGCAACCCAAATGAAGGTAGCTTTGAAAGCAGCGCTCTATGCCACACCCGATCAAAGGCCTTCGCGATATCCAGACTAACTGCTAAGGCCTCTCCCTTACTCTCGATAGCCACTGCCCATCGGTGTGTTAAGTAAGCTAAAAGATCACCGGCCGAACGTCCCTGTCGAAAGCCGTACTGGCGATCACAGATCAGCTGGTGTTCTTCTAGGTACCGGAGCAGTTGACGGTTAATGATGGATTCCATAACCTTCGAGAATAAGGAAGTGATAGCTATGGGCCTATAGTTAGCTGGATCTGAGCGATCTCCCTTTTTAGGGATCGGATGCACCAGAGCAGTCTTCCAAAACTTTGGGACTATGCCCGATGAGTAGCTAAGCCGAAAAAGACGCGTAAGAACCGGAGCCAACTCTGGAGCGCACGTCCTAAGCACAATTGGAGGAATACCATCGGGCCCACTCGACTTATGGATTTCGAGGGAGAAAAGTGCTCTACGCACTGAGCTATGCGTGAATTTAATGTCAGGCATAGAGCTCCTACAACACGTGATGGTCGGTGGTGATTTCTCCCCGTCATCCAATGTCGAGTTTAACGCAAAGATGGATCCAAGAAGATCGGCCTTTTCCTTAGCGTTCTGGGCCAACGAGTCATCCTCCCTGCGCAATGGTGGAAAAGATGACTTACAGAAATTCCCTTGTGCAGCTTTGGCAAGAGACCAGAAAGCTCGAGTTCCAGAGGGCAAACTAGCCAATCTCTTGCCAATTCTACTAATATGCTCTGACTTCGCTGTGGCTATAACTCTTTTGAAAGACCTAGAGGCAGAGTTATACTTCTTTTTAAGAGCACTGGTGTTAGGATCTCGCGACGCCACACCTTTAGCCCAGGTTAGGAAGCACTCCTGTTTCAGACGAGATGCTGTTCTACAAGAGGCTCCATACCAGGGCTGGGATTTCCCGCCGACGGGCACCACAGAGTTAGGAATAAATAATTCCATTCCCTGAAGCACCACATCAGCAATGGAATTGGCAATGGCGTCGGGATCATCCAGTGTGAAGCAAACCTGCCTCCATGGGTAAGATGCGAAAAAAATCCGCATCTCATCCCAGTCTGCTGACCTGTAGTGCCAAACACGACGTCTACCCGTGGAACGTGGTGGAATCGGACTCATGAGAGGCACCTCGCTCCGCACCAGACTGTGATCTGACGATCCAAGCGGAGCTTCGACGGAAATCACATAGTTGTCTGGGTGGGTGGTCAGCAGAAGGTCCAACAGTGAAGGTGAATGGTCCAACACATCAGGTATTCGCGTAGGCGAGGAAACAAGCTGCGTCAGACCATAAGCCAAAGCAAAGTCATGAACAGATCTTCCCGCATAGTCGGTTGTACGTGAACCAAGCCATTCGGTATGGTGGGCATTAAAATCGCCAAGAATCACGACTTCAGCGGAAGGAATCTGTTCGAGCAGGGAATCTGTAGCCATTTGGACGTGCTCAATGAGTTGGTCGGTTTCGATGTTACCGCTGTGGGACCTGTATAGGCATGCATAGACGCGAGGATGGTCATTGCAGTCTACGCGTAGCCATAAAATAGACAAGTCCGTTATATGTCTATCCCTCTCTAACACATTGGCAATTTCTTAAATACAACAAGCAACATATTATGTTAATCATGCATTCCATCTATTCTATTCCGAAATCTTTGGTCTGTGATTGCTAATGTTCCTGTCTAATGTTTCTGTGTAAACATGTCATAAAATTAGCTATCCTGCTATGAATTGAGAAAAATAGCAACTGTGGTATATCTTTCGTATCCTCTGTTTGCTATATTTCCATAAGAAGAAAAGAGGCAACCATATGATTTATAGTTTTTATTTTATTACTCCTTCTATATAATCCTAAGAACAACTTAGGACAAACTATTAATGGCTTGAGTTTTTTAAGATATTGCTTAAGTCAACGCATCTGTTTCGCTTAGCTACTCAAAAATATTTTAAAAAAGAATAGATAGAACGCAAAAATCCATGTAATGTTTTGGTTATACAATGTATTGGAAAGAGATAGACATGTAAAAATGCTTTGTAAAAATGCATCCATCATAGTTAGTTCATAGAAATTAAATATTTTAAAGATTTTGGAATAATAATAATTAGGATTAATTGTTATTATTTCAAAATCTAGTTTAGTCAATATTGTGGCTTGTATCATTTGTTATATTCTTAAATGATGTTATTCAATTTACTTGTGATCAAATAGCAGGTATGAATGTAGTGGTTTACGTTGACAATATAAGTGCTGTAGTGTCGGAGTACAATATATCAAATCTTAACCTGAACACCAAAATGAATATGGCACTGGCAATATTTAATGACAAGTTCACAGTAAACAATTTAAAAATTAATATTGTGAGGGTTTTCCTACGCGAAAATAACATCTAGGCTTAACAAATATGTAAAATAGATTTATTAGTATGTACAACAGTAAGACAGTGAAATAATAAGGGGATAAAAAACAAACAATGAACATTGACATGACATTATTTCAAATATGACAATATGCTGTGCCAGTTCTAACAAATATTAATAAAACAAAGGCTAATTTTATTCAAATCAACAGTAAAAAGCAAAGAACAACTTAACATAAAATTGAAAAACAAAAAAATGAAAATATTAAGTGCATCGAAATTCTCGGAATTAATATAGGCTCTTATTTGAATTGGAAACTCGAAATATCTACAATCGAGAATTCAACAGAGTCAGCTTGTTATATATTAAGAAGCCTCAGGGATGTGGTTTACATGGATCACCCTAAGATGGTCTCCTATGCTATTATTGACTCTAACTAAATTGAGATACAGAATTAAATACTGAATACATAGCTGTGATTATAATATACATAGTGTTTATATTGCAAAAAGAGCATTACGGATTATGTTACAGATACCACAACGGGAATTTATTTATTTATTTATACTTTTGCACACTTTGGAAAATGTCTACGGGGCGGACTTAATGCCTGATGTCCTTATCTACCAGTCAACTGTTACGCTAAACAGATAGAGCGAATGGCGGATGATTTACAAGAAAATACAATATTTATAATAAATATTAATATTTTTTAAAGAAATTATGTTATCTCCGTAATTTTTGATAACAAATTGCAAAAAATCGAATTTTTCTGTACTTCTACATTACAAACATAATACATTTGTATTTTACTCTATCTACGTTATATAATTGATGCTATTCGATATTCAATCGAGTAAACTCCGCCTAGGCACATCACTAGTCGTTAGCCGGCCCGCCATAATTGTCGCCATTTTGTTTTTCAATAATCCTTGGAAGCGTTGAAGGCGTCGTTGTGTGTGCTCTCTTATAAATTTTATTTGATCTGTTCACGTTTAATAATAGATTAAATACTTTATTTTTGTTTTGTTTTATCCTTATACTTCGTAGTGTTCGTCATGTCTGATCGAGAGGTACTATAATTAGCAGACGCTCGTTATTTGCGCATTCGGTGCGCGTGGTTTATTTTGTTGGAGAGTTGAGCTCGCTATAATTAACACGTTTCTTTCGCTTGGGTATTGCAGAGAAGTCGGTCGAGGACCCGCAACGGATCCCGTGATCCACCACCGAAGACCGCGGTGATGTCTCGTGGACACAGCAGAAGCCGGTCCAGGACGCCGCCCCCGCCAAAAACTTCGAGCAGAAAATACCGTAGCCCGTAAGTGACCGTATCCTAAATCGCTTTTTTTACGTTACAGAGTCGCATCTGGTATAATTGTCATTTAACCTAATGTTTGGTTATTTGCATAACCTTGTACTGAAGGCTGCATCGTGGATGGACTTAATTTTTTTTCCTCGTATGTAATGTATTAAATTAACATTGAAAAATTATGAACCGTCACCTAATCTAGTTGTCAGTCTATAAAAACACAGTTAATGTACAATTGTATATACATATTCATAATTTCAATTTCTTATATGTATTATTATGTACAAGTATTTTCTTATTAAGATAATGTCATGGTTGCCATAGAAACATTTAAATTTAAGTATTCATGGTATTTACCAATATATAACCTTATTTGATCAATAACAACTTTTGCTTTACTGCTGTTTTATCAATATTGGCTGAGGTATGAACAGGGGGAGGGTTTGAGCTGATAGTGCCTAGTTCATACAAACAATTACTGCCACATGGTATATTTCATTTTAATGGTTGAAAATTTTGCCTTGATATTATCCTAATTAGCAATGTAATTAGAGAAATGAGTTTTGTGGCATGCAATCTCTTTTAACTGTTAAAATTTATTATAAATTATGTACATAATTTACCAATGCACCAGTTCGTCGAGTCAGACTCTAGCATCTTCCTGCTCCTTGGCTCACTGATGATATTCGTCAGCTTCGAGAAAAAAAGAACCGAGCCAAGGCATGTTATAAAAAAGACCCTGCCAATTCAAGAAAACGGGACAGATATCATCATGTGAGGAGTCATTGCAACATGATGTGTAGAGATGCACAGTGGCACCACATTCATTAATCCGTTGAAAATGAAGACCAAGCTAAAGTTTAGAAATTTCTTAATTCAATGGGAGTTGGCAAATCTCGAAATACAAACATTCCTTATGATCTTGACATGATCAACAGTCATTTTTCTGCTTCCTATCTTGACAATGAAGTCAAAACTAATATTATAAATTATCTTTCTTCTTTATCCACTCCCAGTCACACTTCTTTTGTCTTTAATCGATTTACCGATTGTGATGTTAAGAGAGCTACATTATCCATTACCTCTAATGCTATCGGAGCTGAGGGTACTAGCCGTAAAATGATCATTCCTTTGTTGGATCTCCTTATTCCCATTATATCCAGTATCCTTAATTTTTCCATTTCTTCTGGTTCCTTTTTCAATGTTGGAAAGATGCCTACATTGTCTCCATACCAAAAAAGCAACCCATTTTCCTTCAGTGATTATCACCCTATTTCATTACTTTTTTTCCTATCTAAATTACTAGAATGATTAATTCATTGGCAATTGAGTTTTTGAGATTTTATTTCAGTAAACAGCCGTCATAATATTCTTCAATCTGGTTTCCGTCCTGGTCATAATATGGCTACAGCTCTAGTCAAGATTTCAGATGATTTTAGATTTGGTATGGAAAATTGGCAACTTACTGTGCTAACATTATTGGACTTCAGTAACGTTTTTAATACTGTCGATTTTGATTTCCTGCTTGGAGTCCTCAGCTCTCTTAACATATCTCCAGCGGCAGTTGATTGGTTTAACAATTACCTGTATGGACGTCGGCAATGTATTAAGATTGAACAAACCACTTTATCGTAGTGTGACACTATGGCCGACGTACCTCAGGGTGGTGTGCTGTCTCCTCTTTTATTTGCCATCTTCATCAGCTCGATAACTCTAAAAATATCTTCTTTCTACCACATATATGCAGATGATTTGCAAATATATTTACAGACTGCTTTTGATAACCTTGCTCAAGCTATAAACTAATCATAACAACTACTGCCATAACTTAGAGGCTTATATATATGTATATGTATATGTGTATATATATATATATATGTGTAATGAAATATATATATATATATATATATATATATATATATATATATATGTGTAATGAAATATATGTATATATATGTACTGCTATACCATTTTAAAATTATGGATTAAATATAATAATTCACTATTAATATTATAATATGTGATGTTACAGTGGTAGACAGTATTTTGAATAAAAATATTAGATACTTTATAGTTACATTTGTTTTAAAAGACAATATAAAATACTATATTTCTAAAGAAAAATAGTGACATGAATTGTAAATGTACTGCTTACAGATTAGATTTTATAATCAACTATCTGTAACTTGTGACTTTGCCTGCATGAATTAGAATAACTATTTTAAGTTAATTAGCAATATATGGTGAGGATATTTTATGTTCCCTATGGTATTAAATTTTATTCAAATCCAAACATCCTGTTTGGTTTTTACTTTCATATAACTACTATGAACTTTTACATTTGTAATAGGTATATACGTATAAAGGAATAGGATGAGGTTAGTAAACAGCTATGCATTGGCCTTTGGTTTGTGGTGCACGTTAATTTAAGCTGACCCATCGCTGCTGACGCTAGGTCGTACTCCAGGTCTCGATCGCGCTCGGGGTCTCCGCGGCGCGGGTATCGCTCTAGGTACTCCCGCAGCCGTTCCCGCTCGTATTCGCCGAGGGGCTCCTACCGCCGCTCCCACTCCCACAGTCCGATGTCGTCGCGTCGCCGTCATCAAGGCGATCGGGTGAGTGTTCATCGCTTTCGTAAAATGGTAATATTAAATATGGCGTATTTGAGGGATTTTCTGGTGCGCTTCAGCTATGCGAAAGGATATATTACACATGCTTTTTTTTTATAAGAACAATCTCCTTGGAAAATAATCTTAAATACGCCAATGTTAATAAATTAGCCATTGTTACACTATTACATCTAGTTTTAAAATTAAATTTTGTCGCAATTAAATTACAATTATTTTTGGAAAGCAATTTTATTGTAATTTCTATTGCATTTAATATATATATAATAACAGCATATTATACTGATAGGCAGTCTTATTAGTAAAACTTGTTTCAGACAATATAAATATGATTTACTTTGTTTTTCTCTTACTTGGTATTATTAGTAATCAATTTTGACTCCAAGGGCGTATCTAGGTGCAGTGTAGCACTTTTTATCTTTAAAAAAATTATTGACTCGCCGTGTTATCTCCAGTTATATATTTTTAGCATGTATTTTTCTTTATTTATTCCTTATTGCACAATAAAACTTTGTACAAGTGGCGAGCTTAATGTCATATGGCATTCATATACATATAATCTGTTTTTCTTGTCTGAATAAAATCCTAGCTACGCCCTTGCTGGGCGTGTCTTTTTATCGAAGTAAAAGTAATTTAACTGAACAAATTGTCAATATTTTGTACTAATTGGTCAATTTTGTTTATGTATTAATTTATTTTTGTCTTTTAAATGACTAATTTCGATGAAAAGACATGCGTCGTGAATCTAACTGTGATGTGTACGCAACGGAATCAGTAACGGTTAGTAAGCTTGATGTTACGACAGGAGAACCCGACTCCATCGAGGTGCCTCGGCGTTTTCGGTCTCAGTTTGTACACCACAGAGACGCAGATCAACCATATCTTCTCCAAATATGGACCAGTGGACAAAGTGCAAGTTGTCATTGATGCTAAGGTGAGTGAATGGACGATGTACACGATCGGTTTAATCTATTTACATGTTTTTTTTTTTTTTATATATACAACTTAGAATGGCAAACAAGCTGACGGCCCACCTGATGGAAAATGGTAACCGTCGCCTATAGACATGAGCAGTACCATAGAAATAACAGAGTATACTGTTTCGCCCGTGATACCCCCCATGCGTTGCCATTCCTGAGGACACAGGTGTTATTCCTTTGTACCCTGTAAATTTACGCCATATCCCATCCTTCAAACCGAAACACAGCTATGCAAACACAACTGCTTCACGGTTGAAACACGAATGGGACAGAGGTACCCAAGCAATCGACTTTTGTACAAAGTCTCCCTCTGGAAAACGTTACACTTAATTAACTAGATTTTATATGCCACTTCGTACGTGACAGGGATATGTTGATTAAATATTAGCCTATGTTCTTTTCTTAATCATCATACCTAGTACGAGAATTTAGTATAAAATTTTATTATGATTAATCGAGCGGTTAAGGCGCTAAGATGTAACAAATAAACCTACATTCATATTTTACTGATTTATAACAATATGGATTATTATTATATTGTTAACTGTCCATTGCTGAACATAGGCCTTCTCCATAAGAGGGATATTTGACAGTAGTTGCCACGCTTGTCAGGCGGTTTGGCAACTGCAGTTAGGCTTTGATGATCCTTTAAAAAGGATGCTGCTGTCCATCCCTCGAAAATTAAATTTATTTAGTCGCTTCTTACAACACGTACAGGAAAGGAAGGGGAGGCCTGGCAAACTGTATGCATATCAATTCATTTAGTAATTATTAGACAGGCTGGGATAAAAAGTAGCCTATCTTCTTGTATAATACCTATGTGTATAGCAAATTTCATAGTGATCGGTTAAGCCGTTAAGACACTAAGGGCACAAACAGACTAACACATTTATAATATTAGTAAGGATACATTATAAACTATTCTGAATTTAACTCTAATACAGTGGTATTATATTTTTATTATGTTCTTATAGACGGGTCGCTCGCGTGGTTTCTGTTTTGTCTACTACGAGAACCAAGAGGATGCCAAAGTGGCTAAGAACGAGTGTACCGGTATGGAGATAGATGGACGTCGCATCCGGGTTGACTTCTCTATCACACAGCGCGCACACACGCCCACGCCTGGCATCTATATGGGCAAGCCGACGTAAGTGCATTTCTGATGTTATTCTCGAATATTTTGTTCTTGATTGTTCTAGAAAGAAGTAGCGGCAGCTTTGAGGTAGAGTAATAGGGCTAGTGGCTCTAGACGTCAGATGGCAAGGGGCTACAAATCCGAAAAACAATATCTTTAACAAAATAAAATTTTTATGGCGCCTTTTGAGGGGCATGGGAGCAGTGTTGATTTCTGAAAATTTGGGAATTATTACTTTATTTATTCTACATAAAACCGAAGAGGAATTTACGTGATTTCATACCCCTCATGTGTTACCATTTCTAAGGACTAAGGCTTTATATCTTTTTATCCTGTAATTTAATTGCCATATGCCACTCTTGAAATCGAAACACAGCTATGCAAACAACTGTTTCACATCAGAAACACTAATGGGATAGAGGTACCCAAACAAACTACTTTCGTACAAAGTGCCCCCCTGGTATCTTATGTTGTCTATATTCGATAGGTTTTAAATAACCTTATAGGCAGTTTGTATATTGAAAAATTCATATTTAATATTCTTTTATTTTGAATACCAACATTAGAAATGCCCAACTATAGTCACTAATTAATTGGGTCTCTATGTGTTGGTAGAGTAAAGGAAGCAGATTTAGGGCGAGCCCACTGAGAGATTAGTTGATTCGCCAAAGGCCTGCTTGTACAAAAAAAAAATGTTGTTTTGTTCTATAGGAAAGTTATATTGACACAAAGATATGTATTTTTCAATATATGTTAAATTAATCAGCCATTCAGTTGTCAATTTGTATATTGTAAAAAAAGAAAAAAATATCAACTTCCTATAACTTGGTTATATAAAATATCAGACTTATGAGACGGTCATTTGACTGGCTTATACATCATACTCGTAAACATAGCTTATAGGAACTGGTCTGTTGTCATATTTATTTCAAATTGAATAATACATAATAATAATAATAAATAATTTTTATTCAAGTAAATTTAATATTAAGCATTTTTTAATAATATTTTTTTATGAATCTACTACTATTCAGTTCGGAATGCAGTTTTAGCTGAGAAGAACGAGCAAGAAACACAGCTGTTTTAATATAAATTTTGTTTAATATAATTAATATAAATAACATAGTAAATGAATTACTGGATAAAATGACTATCACAAATATTGTATGGATAAAAGAAAGAAAAAGACTATAAGGTTACAATCAATTACAGTATTCTTTATATAAAATTCTTTAAATACTTATTATTAGTTATGATAATACCCTTCGAAATGTAAAATTATCTTGTACATAAAAAATAAGTGTAAAGAGTAACTATTGAGATTCTAGCGGGGCTACTTTTTAGCAGATAACAACAACAATACAGTAGTAGAATCGAAACAAAAATATGATTTAAAAAAAGTTTGTAAACGACTTTATTTGAATAAAGATTATTTCTATTCTATAAGCTTCTATATCTTTTATTCTATTATTACTCGAATTCATAAAGGCAATATGTTACAATTACTTTTTTATTTACAGTGTAAGCAGCAGAGGTGATAATGGCTACGACAGGCGCCGGGACAGAGAGTAAGTTCTTTATATCTAATATCTATAACGCATATGAAACAATACTATAGTTTTTTTCTGTGATGTCAATGACGCTGTTCATGTCTTATTTGTCTAATAGCGACGGTTGTTATTTTCTAATCAAATGGGCTAACAATTTATGTATTACTTTGAATAGCAAACATGTTGATCGTTCATGTAGTACAATATTTCATGTCTTGTCTAGTAAACAATCTGGGCATATCTTGTTATTTAAATGCTATTAAAAATAAGTTGTTCTAATATATATATATATATATATATATATATATATATATATATATATATATATATATATATATATATATATATATATATAATTTATACAATGTAGAATGGCAAACAAGCTGACGGCCCACCTGATGGAAAGTGGTAATCGTCGCCTATAGACATGAGCAGTACCATGGAGATAACAGAGTATACTGTTTCGCCCATGATACCCCCCATGCGTTGCCATTCCTGAAGACTCGGGTGTTATTCCTTTGTACCCTGTAAATTCACGCCATATCCCATCCTTCAAACCGAAACACAGCCATGCAAACACAACTCCTTCACGGTTGAAACACGAATGGGACAGAGGTACCCAAGCAATCGACTTTTGTACAAAGTCTCCCTCTGGTGAAAGATCATCATCACATCAGCCATTAATTGTCCACTGTTGAACATGTTTTGAGGGGGGAGGTTTGCCATTACTTGCCATCCATCCTTTGAATATGTTCCTTTGGTCACCTCTTACAACACCTATAGGAATGGGTGATCAATTGTTTTTTTTTTTATTTATTAAATTATTATATTTATGTAGTAAATGACTAAGGCTTGGCCATGTTTTAAGAGTTGCTAATCCACCTGCCAAGCATGGCAACTACTGGCGAAACTCCCAATAGAGGGAGGCCTATGTTCAACAGGGAACTTATAATGGCTGATATGACATGGTAAATGACAGAAATGATAATTACCAATTAATATATAACAGATATTATAAAGTGGCATATGTTTGTTTGTACAGCGACTACTACTACCGCGGCGGCGGGGGCTACCGCGAGCGGGACTACTACCACCGCGGCTACCGGCACCGCTCGCCGTCCCCGCACTACCGCCGCTCGCGCCGCTACGAGCGCGAACGCTCCTACTCGCCGCGTAAGTCTTACTACCACCCCGAGCGGTAGGCTGGACTTATGGTGCCGCTGCACTCACGCTAATGGGCTATTTGACTGCTAATGTTTGGACGCAGCCGGACACATAATGTTCTATATTGGGAATTTTTAATTTAATGAGCAGTTTTTGTGTTTGAGACTCCATACAGCATGAATATTAAATTTAGCAAATGTTTCAGTTGTGGAGAATTACTCTCTGTCAAGCTAAATTCAAAATTTGAAAGTTACAAAAGAAACTAAACGAAGTGTAGAGATATGAACACTTTTGTAGTTTAGAAACAATAACCATATTCCACGGAAATTGTACTTTGAAATTTCATGATAAAACATGTATAGAAATGTATATATTGTTATAAGAAACTAAGGTAATGCTTTCACTCGAAAAAAAAACTAACAATCGAGAGTTTGCGTTTGATACCTCACTTCTATTATCAATGTGGATAATGCATTAAACGTACTCAATTATTGCAGCGTCTCAAATACGATGTTACCAGATAGAATTGTAGCTAAACATCGAGATGCTATCTCCCTGTAGCCTTGGCGAAAGACTAGTATTGTCTATTTTTTTCTTTTAAACTAAATTTATCTTTATAGCTTTCTAATATTTTTCTATATGTTCTTGCAAAATTATTGTAGTGTATAAACTTTTACTTTTTCCTGAGTTACAGGTTTTTATTCTTACTTTTTTTTTGTTCAGTACATTATATATCTTTCGAAAATTAAATTTAGAATTTATTAAACATTATGTGCTTAATTGCGTCCAAATTTGTCGTAATAGGCATCCAATAATTATTTAGTAATGACTATAGTAAATAATATAAAAAAAAATTGATTTAGGCTCTAACAAATTGAAGTCAAATATCCTATCCAAATGTGTAGTAAGAAAATGTGTTATTAAAAATAGGTAGTTTAAGTATTAATATAATTGAATTGCTCTCAACGGAATCAATGAAACGAGTCATAAAATTTGAATAGAATGCATTATTGTTTGTTTGAGTTAGTGTTACATTGGGCTCGATTCTGTGGCCACATTTCTCTAAACCTGTCTAAAATTAAAATTCGAATATTATAGAGAAACCTTTATTGCAAGGACCAATGTGTATTAAATTTCTAATAGATTTGATTAAAAATTATATTAACAGTCCATAATTACAGTAATTTTGCGAAATTGTTAAATTAAAATAGGTTAAGAGATAAATTTAGAGAAATGGTCTCAAGTTCATTACACTAAGTATTTGATTAGAGATAATTTGTTTATTTTTGCCATCAATCATTGCGGTTTGTTTCATCTCGAAAGGAATATCGTTAGACAGTACATCAAAAATTATATTTAGTATATAATATTTAACCTTATACAATTCACTTTAACCTGTGATTGATTTCGCATTTAATTTCATATAAAAATCAATATACCATATAATGTTTAAGCGTTAATTTAAAAGTAACGGCTTGTTATGTGAACATAGCATCTCATTTACTTGTTCTATTTACCCATGCATTTTGTGTGCCAAATACATTACAATGTACGAATTGCTTGTACTGTTTATATCGAGTTTTAAATATGTTGTTTTATATATAATATATAAACTATATTTTTTTTGTTTGTGTTGAACTATACAATATTTTTCATCACTTATACATGTTATGGATATTTCGCAAATAAAAAGCCTTAACTAGAGTTGCCAACCCGCCTGCCAAGCGTGGCAACTACTTGCTTACCATATGGGGAAGGCTTATGTCCAGCAGTGGACAGTTCATTGCTGAAATCGTAATAATAAATAGGGGAAATGCACACTAATATTCTACAATTATTTTACGCACATTGTACTTGTCACTTGCTGGTTAGACTTCTGTAACTTTTTTATTTATTTTAGTATGCTATGTACATTTAAAAAGGATCAAATTGCCACCGAGCGGAAAATACTGCTTGACTTAAAATAATATTTCGTGTGGCGAAATTGTTATAGGCTACTAGCTGATTAGTTGATTCAAAATCTAAGTACAAATTTTACTTAGTTTGGAAATAAATGATACTATGGAATAAGGTCCTGATTTCATTATTATACTAGTTGATCCGGCAAACGTTTCACCATTTAAAAATTTTTTTCTGGATAGGAAAACTAATCACCTAGCGGTATTCTTTTATCGGTATTATTATATTTTCTTCTGTGACCACCAGATATCACCAGAGGGAGACTTTGTACAAAAGTCGTTTGCTTGAGCACCTCTGTCCCATTCGTGTTTGTACTGTTAAGCACTTGTGTTTGTATATTCATGTAAACACAAGTGCTTCAGAAATATATTTTTTAAAATGCATGTATAATGTTTCTGTTTGAAGGATGGGATATTACAGTGAATTAACAGGTACAGAGGAATAACACCTTAATTCTTAGGAATGGCAACGCATGGAAGGTATCATGGGCGAAACAGTATACTTTGTTATGTCTATAGGCGACGGTTACCACTTTCCATCAGGTGGGCCGTTGGTATGTTTGCCATTTTAAGTTTCATAAAATTTTTTAGGGTTATTATTTTCATACCTACCAAATATACATATATAAAAATAAATATCGGTCGAGCTGTTTCGGAGGAGTTCGAGACCACATGAGGTTTTTATATATAAGCTAATATTATTTTGGAAAATTATTTTACCTGTGCGAAGTAGTGCCAAATTGCTAGTCTTTAAAATTTCGGGGACTTTGGCTTTTCTCGGAACTCGAAATTGAAAATCAATACATTATAAGTTTATAAGCTAATATTATCTAATATATAAAAATCCATGGTAAAAGTTCTTTTGTCGTCGATTCCATTGTTTACTATGTAATGATGGCGGAAATAAACAAATTTCTGATTATCAAATAGTTGGCAATATTTATTTGGATTGGCAATAGTTGTTGTTATGGCACCGAGAGTTGCTTTAATTGCTGTACTTTGTACATTTACTCGCAGAATTACGCATTTTCTTGCTATATACATATTCGTATGTAAAACATCATTTGACGTTATTCTCTAAAATGTACAGCTAAAGCTCATGAGTGACCAGACATAGTTTCTGGCTATGCATGTGTTTATTAGACGCAATTCATTTTCTCACTAGTGTACTTTATATTTACTTTTTCGTCATAAATCAGTGTATCTATCATATTTTATTATTCCAAATTAATGTATTAGATTTCGATCCCTTTGTATTAATTTTTTTATATTTGATTTCCACATCTTTTTTGCACAATGACCAAAGATATTGAATATATAACCAATCATTCAATCCCTTGTCGAGTGCATTGCATGTTGGTTAACTATGTTATTTCTATTCATACATTAGGACACAGTCCTAATGTATTATTTTGTAAATTAGATTAAGATGTCTGCCTCAACATTTGTCATGTGAGTTCCATATGAAATTGTCTAGTAATTTTTAATGTTTTTATCTGAACAACTGTCTCTCGTTGTATCTTAATCGTGATGGAAGTCAATACTATCGTTTTCAATAATGTATTTTAATAATGTAATCGAAAGTGTTGACTTTGGAATGGACTGAACCGGTAGACCTTCAAAAATAATTTGATGATTTTATATTTTAAATGTTTTTAGACTCACCTTGGTATCAAAAATGTGTATTTTTCTAATATGAATGAATCACAAGCTGGTAGTTAGAGGTAACTGGTGAAAATGTAGAATTTATTTGCTTTTCAAGTGTTCAAGTATAAATTGTAGTATTTGGCTTTAATTCCGTAAGCTTAAAATTTTTATGCGTATAACTGTTATTTGTCAAGTTATCTTAGATATTTGGGACTATCAAAGTCTTTCCAAATTTGTTACTTGGTGATAGTATAACACTAGATGTCGCCTATGTCAGATTTATATAATATTTAAATAAGAGAATAAAAAAAGGAAACAACTGATAGGTAGTTTAGATAAGGAAGGAATACAGGTTTGGTCGGAAGCATCTATAAAAGTGTAATACAAACATATTTCATGTATAAAATCATTGCAAATTGCTAGACACGCACAAGCCATTGATTCGTAGCATAATGATCATTTCATAGCATTGACAACCATGGTTACTCCCCTGTTTGACTTTGCAGGTCGTTATTAGTAAGTCGGTGATGCTGAGGTCGACTTCAGACATAGCATACTTTTTGATACGACAACACCTTCCCCAAATGTGTCCACTGGCCTCGTCCATGCATTTATACTGTACCTGCGTAGGCCGGTTTAGATATATAGATACATACATAACATTGTTAACAATTAATTTTGTAAATGTAAGTTTGCGTGTGAACTAAGCGCCCGCATTAGTCTGTGAATGGACAGTTTATGTTTAATTAGATGTGATACGAAAAGGGTCTAGTTTATAAGTTAGTTTGTAATAACCAGGGCTCACTCGCCTCTAGGATGTAAAATTAGATCTAATAAAGATTTAACGCCAAGTCTAATATTGATTTTGTTTGTTTGAAAAGGTATTGAAACAAGAAGTAAAGGATGAAGTTCCTTGAAACGTAACTGTGTTGAAGTTTTGAAAATGTTTGATTGAAAATGCCTTTTGGGCGGTTGCCGAAACCCGACCGGCCGGTGGGTGCCGAAAAGAAAATGTGGGCGTAGAAGCCAAGTTTTCGGACCTAACTTGACATTTGTCGAAGCGAAAAAGAATATGATCGGGTTACTGGGTTGTAGGGAGGTACGAAGCACAAGCTCGCTCAAGACACTCAAGAGAGAAGTCGCGCACAGATCATATTCTTTATCTTCCGACTTAGTACTATATATAACACTATACATTATCTGTCGCGGTATATATTTTACACTACGTGATCGTTATTGCATTTCTCGACTCCATAGTATGTATATATATATATATATATATATATGTATTGACCGTCGGGTCGCCATATTAATACTTATTTTTTTCTAGTGTAGACTTGTGAGCAGCGACTTGTTAATAAATAATAGTTTTGTAATATCATTATGGTTCTTCTTCATTCATGGTCTGTCCCACCTGGTCTTATCCATATTCCTTTCTGATAATATATCATAATGGGTAGTGTAGAGTAGTTGTTATTGTAATATTTACTGCTTTTCCTACGTTTCTGGTGTGTGTCAGACATTTGGCGATAGATGTGTCAATGCACCTCAGTAATCCGGTACCAGATCATGTGAAAAAATAAAATGGGTTTCTCATATTATAATATTATATAAGGAGATTTTTTTAATAGATGTATCTCTACAATATGTTTAATATTGGCGAGTATTGCATGAATAATGGTGGTTAATCAATCGAAATTTGTCACTAAACTGAATTTATATTTACGTTTAATTTTAATTCTTGTCTTAAATAATCCAAGACAAGGATCGCAGTAAATAATTTTTATAAATTTCACTTTTGGATGCTGAATAATCCTGATGTTTTCTGTTCAATCGGTAAACGAATAGAATATGACTTGGAACTTTCGTGAAAAATAATCTAATAATTATTATTGTAATACATAAATATTTAATATGTTACTAAATTATTGTCACTGGCCATATACTTGTTTGTCACCTTGGTGGTATAAAAAAATTACAAATTTTCGGAAAACGTCTCTTAGTCTTATGTGCAAATTTTACCACATTTCTCTTAGACTACTATTGTGTTATTAACTTTTATCCTTGACTTAGCGTGACCGAAATATGTTCACCGACTCGAATAAAAAGTGACCTATCTCCTTCTCTATCCTATACAGTTTCATAGTGATCGGTTTAGCTGTTAAAGTGTTAGGAAATTAACAAACTTGGACATAATATTACTAAGGATCCCTTCTAGTAAAAGGGCTGAAAATTATATTCAATAACATATGACTAACTCGTTAAATTTCTATAGTTATTAAAATTCGTAACAGTAGTGGGAAAAAAACATTTGTCGGTATCAAACAGATGTAGTTTATAGATATGCGTATGTATATATATGATTAAATATTATAAAAATATATATTCAAGTATTTTATTATTGAGTAGATGTAGTTTATGTGGGGTATCTAACATATGTAATATACTCGTATAATGAAGTTTATTAGAGAGAAAAAGTACCATTTGCTATTGTCAGTTTCAGTGGGAGTTGTTTAGTAACCGGGATAAAAAGCCTACGTTCCATTCTATATTGTACGTGTATATCAAATTTCATAGTGTTTGGTAAAACCGTTAAGGCGCTATAAGGGACAATCATGTTTATATCAATAAGTATATTTGGTGCGAATCGTCCTCTCTTTAAGCGATTTTCAAAAGGAGCTTTACATATTTCTGAATTTATTAAAGCGATTACTTTGAGGTATTTGAGATTTGTTTGAAAAATTCAGGCTTTTCGACTATTTGTACGCCAATTCGTCACTAATTATGGGCAGATTTTTACAAATTTTGTAATCTTGTTACTATTAGGTCGAAGCTAACGCACAATAGGTCTCATTTTGTTATGATTGACGCTGATGTTTCTCTTTGCAGAGCAAAACACTTATTCCAAGCAAAATATATATGTAAACATGATTGCACGTTCTAAATTCGAATATTTACAATCTGGAGTATCAATTAAACATCTTATCGTTTATAGATGCGTGTGTTTTCACGAAATATGACGTTTTTTCTCGTGTAGCAAATTGTACTTTTTCTACTTTATATGGGTTATATAATAATTAGACACATTCGTCGTAATCTTTTATTAAAAGTCTTAACAATACCTATAAATAATTTAGATACCATATACACGCATATTGGCACTCTTCCGTAATATGGCAGTTAATAATAATAATAAAAAAAAACAATAAAATATAAATGACGCACACAACAGCCCAGTTGGAGTAAAAATTTATGCAAATTCAAAAGATAGCTGTGGTGCGTTGGGTAACAAAATATAAAGTTCGTATTAGCGATACAGATTGGACACATTTTAAATACATTTATAGGTACATACACTTAAAACTACAGCTGAGAACACCAATATACTCAACTTTAAACATTGGCAATAAAAAATACTGGGATAAAAAAATAAAATTTGTACTAATGAGCTTTGAAAGCTATTGGAATGTAGGCATTAACAACTAATACTGTGAGATACTCAAATAATATTAAGTAACAATAAAAAAAAAAAAAAAAAAAAAAACAAACAATATTACACTAGGAGTAGTCAATGAGCATTTAAAATAATAATTTTATTATTATTTTAAATGCTCATTATTTCAATAGCCAGATAAAAAATATCAAATATAGTTAAGTGACGAGTACTAGTAATCTACACATAATATACAAAAACTACAAAATTTGCTGCGACTTTATCGTTTTTTACAAATTCTCTTACAACACAAAATATTGCACTTAGTTTCAATTTTATTGAGCGAGCCAATCCGGGTTTACATAATTTATACGCGCTGGATGCAATTCTTTTTTAGGCAGTCTATGTTATTAAAACGAAACAACGGCTGCATATGTAATACAGCAAAGAAAAAATTGGGTAATTGGCACTCTGGTTATCGAATTACAAATAGACTCGGTAATTTAGAAATACAATTATGTTCAATAAAAACTTGTTGGTGTGCGTGGAGGCAAATAAATTAACTACACTTTAGTTTCAGAATGCATCTATACTACGCGACCTAAAGAGAAAAGTCTGCTGGCAGGAGTGTTGAGAACAGCTTATCTATGAAATGTTTTCCCAAATTGGAGCCGAATGAAATAAGAACTTACAGAACTTTAAAATTAGAATTCATGATAAATAATATGTTTTATTATCTATCGATAAATTAACCCTTCTTTGCATGATTTTTTTTATTGGTGAAATAAATCAAGGTGATATAATTCATGTTTAAAATTAAAGGAAAAATGGTTAAAGAAATAAATTTGACAGCTATATTTTGTTTGTTTTTTTGCAATGGACATTAAAAAGGTATCCAGACACGATCAACTTAAAGTGAACTTGATCTTTTATATAATTTTTGGGCATTCAATGTTATGATGGAAATTTCCACCATTATGCAAAGAAGGGTTGATCGATTCTTCTCGTATTGGTTCCTTTAACTACCCATATATATCAAGTTATTGGCGAATTAAATTGCGGGAAAAATATTTATCGATTGTACGACATATCTAGACATGGGTAATAATGTGCCATGCCGTACAATTGCGTCAACTCACTTCCCTGCGCTGGATGTGTTGACTCACATATTTAAAATGAGTTGGCGCAATACTGTTAAATTACTGAAAAAAAAGTTAAATTTACTTTGGTGATGTAGGTAATATTTGTAAATTGAGTAGACGGTATGCAAATGTAGTAAAATATATAGTAAGAAAATGTTTTTTTCGACTTCTATTTTATACGACATGACAAAATAAAGGGTACAGTGATACAAGCTATCCTGAGGGCTACAGCGCAATTTTTAATTAATGAGTTAACACAGTGAGGTGTGACCGAGTTACTGAGTGGACGCAAGAAAAATTGTAAATTTACCCATATCTAGACATATAGATTCACAATTGTTTGGTCACATAAAACCTCTTTGCAATAAACAATTCTGCTAACTTAGACTCTAAAAACATCACTAAAATCAGGCAGGCAGATAGATAGTTTTTAAAGTCCTACATCTCTTGCATCAGGATAATAACTTACATAATTTTGGCAAATTATATATAGCGTTCTAAATAGGACGTTCCGTTTACAAATCACATATTAGCTATGTTTGAATGGCATAAAGCACACAAGTACATAGTGGAATATTCTCTGAGTTTGAGCAATGACATATTTTTCGTCTCTAATAGACGAGAATGGAGGGAAACCATATATATCTAATAGCTCTTTAAAATCAGGACAAATACATGTTGGCCTAAAGCTTACAAACTAATGGCAAGAATAGAATGAGCGTGAAGCATGTATAAGTAGACACTACAAAATTACAGCTCCAGTCTACAATTCACTTCGTACAGTTACAATATTCTATACAGTTAAAGAATACGTGTATTACCAGATTCTGAATCTTCATATCATTTATATTATAATAAATTTCTACAGTTATTCAAGTTTTCTTGTAGGGATCGTGTTATTATCCCTCTACCTAAAATACATCTAAATATCGCAAATGAAAAGCAATATCGAGTCGGTAAGGGGATGGATTCTAGAGAATGATTACAAATGTTTATTTTTTAAATGTCTATAAACTATAGAGGTAACATAAAAAGCAGTACTATTGGAGTCTTACTGGAATACTTATTGACAATACTATGTTGTAAATTGGAGACCTAAATACTTTTGCTAATACGATTTTGAAGATATGTACAACACCTTGTAACTTTACTATACGCTATAAATATGATACAGGACGTGCGTCGACGAGGAATTTTTTTGTTTGTCACAGGCGTATGTATTTATATGCGATATTTAAAACTGTTCATTTTGGCAAACAGAAAAGTATGTTGTCTGATTTGTCTCGTCTTCACATGTCCTTGAGTGTTCAAAGTCAGGGTAAATACAATTTGGACATTATTAATGTTTCATACTTATCATGAGGCATTGTCAAATTATTCCATAAAATGGGGTAAACTTAATACATTCTTATAATTATTCTTATATTTTTTACTAAAAATAATACAGGCTTGGTGTTACAATAAATTAATAGGAAATTTGATTATGATAATTTGAAAGGAATGTATTATTTATCAATTGGAAGTGTGGAAAATAAATTTGTAAAGATTACTTATCGAGTAAAAAAAAAGAAATTAAATCCAAAAGCAATTATAAGGGGGGGGGGGGGGGGAGCTAGGAATATTACAGTTTGTGGAAGAAGACATACTGCGCCGACCCCAAATAAATGGGGTAAGGCGAGGCAATGGTGATGGGTAAAAACTAAGTACTTAGCAAATGGCAATGGTAAACAAACTGACGTCCCACCTGATGGAAAGCAGGAACCGTCACCTATAGACATGGACAGCACCGTGGACATAACAGAACACAGTGTGATGCACATGGTATGCTTCATGCGGTGTCATTCCTGTACTGTAGGTAGTACAGCAATTTTAATGAGAGATCGTGATCATCGTGAGCCATTTGCGTTGTTTGTATGGAGCAAGCGAGACGCACACGCTGGTCGCGGGTGGTGTGAGGTGGTGTGAGGTGGTGTGAGGTGGTGTGCGCAGTATCGGCAGTGGAGGGGCCGCTCAGAGCAGCAGCGTGCAGTGGTCGCGCGCGAGGCGGCGGCGCGCGCGCAGCGGCGCGGCGCCGAGCACGTCGGCGGGCGGCGGCGGGCCCGCGCCGCGCCGCCCCGCCTCCGCGTAGTACGCCTGCGCGCCGCCCGCCGCCGCGCCCACCACCACGCTCTCCGGGCTCCTGCGCATCGCACATACTTCATTGCACTTGTTTTATTAAAAAAACACGAAACGACACACGTTTTATTAAAAAAAAATAGTACATTACTGCAGCGGCCAGCAACTGAGGCATTGATGGACGAACGTGCAAGTGTGGGCCGAGAGGTAGCCGAGGCACACATACGTCAGTCCATCGATGCCTAGTTGTGGCCAAGGCTAGTATAGTACTTTTCTCAAACAGTGCGCGGAAGTCAAAACACAATTTTACTTTTTAAATTCAATGACGAATAACGAACAATAATAATTTTGCACGCGACATAATGTTCCTTTATTTTTTTTTTCAATTACGGCAAAATTGCCGTACTGGCCAGATACATGCGGGCAGCGACCCGCAAAAGTTGTATGAAAATCTATATCTGCCGTGTTTTGCGGCCAGATAAATTACTATGTAAAGTCACTCCATTTTTAAATTATAGGACAGATATCCTGTAATTTAAAAATGGAATGACCTTTTACTTCGAAACATGACTACCAAGAAAGCAACTAATAAAAGGCTTTATTTAAATTTCGAACTGTCTTGCAAATAGAAAGCTGTTTATTGAAAAAACAAATATAATAATATTTTTCATATTGGGATAACAAAAAAGCGAGAGAAGATCGCATAAGGTATTGAAAAAAGAATTACCTTAATATAAGCTCGGAGAGCTCGGGATCCTCCCCGAAGTGGTGGTGTATGAGGCCCATGGTGGCGATGTCGAGCGCGGGCCAGGGTCCGCCCTTGCGGACGGTGCCCCAGTCGGGGTCGAGCGTGAGGTAGCTGTAGTCGGCCGCCTCGCCGCCCTCGCCGCCCGCGCCCACCGCCTCCATGCACTTCTGCTCGATCGGACCCAGTGCGTTCAACGACGTCTCCCACTAGAATTTATTTATTTATTCATTAGTACATGTATGTGTACAAGGCAGACTTAATGCTAAAAACATTCTCTAATGTTGACTACCTTAGGAAAGTATCAGGCTAGTCAGAATGTTCACATTTTACTACATTTAAGAGAAGTATGTATTTTTCTAGGGGTGGGTAATATATAACAATAATTATATAATGTAGTTACAATATATTGGATTAAAAAATGAATATAGTATATATCGGTTATCCAATATATCAAATTGTAGAACCCGATTGAAATGAATATAGATATACAATTGGTATCGGTGATATTGAAATTGGTGATGGATAACCTTTTTTCCGCAATCAATGACTAGAGAAACCCAATATATAGACATCCGGGATGTATCGACATTACTCATGCTTAATTGTTCTAAAAAAAAAGCGTCTTCAAATTGTGAACAAATATACTGATAACCGATGATAACAATCATTCGTATATACCCTACATTCCAAATGTTTTGTAGATATCATAGAAAAATTATAATATTAAAAAAAGTTTATTTATTTATTTATTTATACTTGAATAAAGGTTTAGCACTTATAATTACTACAATGATACATTTTTAATATTTAAATTTAAAATGTGGATTTGCTTGTTCACTCACACATTTTGGTTCACAATAAGTAGCTCTTCCATAAGCACCGCTGTGGTGTCGTGAAATTTGGACACAGACAAACTGACTATAATCTAGCTTCAATACATAGTTTATTATTCTGCTATTTATTTTTTATCCTAAATCATGAGGATTCAGCTTCTTAAAAATTTATAAAAAATTGCTCTAAGAGTATGGCTTTTCAAGAATATTCTACATAAGCAATGTTAGTAATTTTTTATCTTAAACCACGTATAAAACACGATTCGTCAGTATATAAGTAAATTAGAATAACCAAGTATATATAATTATTACTTGCAACACTAAAAAAATGGATGCGTTTTATAATGTAAATAACCAGTCAGTTTTATGTCAAACAGTTGACAGTTTTTTGACAGAAGTCTATGATTTAAGACTAACAAAAAAAAAAGTGGTACGTGTACCGACCAGCGCGTTGATGGTGTCCGGCGAGTGTCCGGCGGACGCGTCGAGCAGCGCCAGCAGCGCCATGTTGTGCAGCCCGCTCACGAACAGCGCACACCGCACCGCGCGCTCGCCGCCCGCCGCCGGCCGCGCCGCCGGCCACGCCGCCGAGCTCGACGACGAGCTGTCCGAGTCGCTGTCCGACTCGCGGCATTGTGTTTTCGGCCTGAGATAACAAACACTTACAGGTCAGTGAAAAAAAAAAAGCGTTGGTCCGCCTTATTCATTTTACGGAATTGAATAAAGCATTTCGCTGCCTACTATTTAAATCCGTTCGAAGGAGGATTCTTTTTGGAATTTACAAAAGCGTTAAAGTTCAAAGAAAGGTAAGCATATTATTACATGTGCAATAATGGAAGTCAATAACATGTGATACTGCAGAGTTATATTTCTTCAAAATAAAGTATACACTTGAGTTCGAAAACTAGTCGGGCTTCTCCGAATTTCGTAAGTAAAGTCGATATTAATAAGTGAGGACTTACCTGTCAGAAAATGTAATTTGTCTCTCAGTAGCAGGCGTAGGAAATTCCCTGAGTTCTAAAGGCGTCATAACTCTACTACTGTACCCACTTGATTTGTCCGAAAACGCTAAATGACTCAGCTTTTCCATCAAAGGCGTCAGCTGGACTCCAGTCAATTTCTTCTTAAAACCTGTCGCTTCAGAGTCCGAACCGATTTGCGAATCCGAACTCTCTGATAACGATTTTAGAGGCAACGACAAGGACTTTCGTCTGGACTGATCGGTCGATAATGTTTTATTCGAATCTTTGGGTGTTTTCTTTGGTGTCCGTTGTGGAGACTTCGTCATTTCAGAATCAAAGTCTTCGAATTTTTCTTTCTCACATAACTTCATGTGAAAAGTGAACATATTGTCCGCTTTTGACTCTTCTTTTATTCTAGAATAGTACTGTTCTAAATACTGGTTGAAAAGCGACTCGGATATGGCTATGCCATCGTTTCTGAATACTGGAAACAGGGGATCGTTTATAGTCATTGAACTAAATGATTTTTGAAGACTGTCATCTGGCGAGGGCGACATGTCATCGTACATGGGCACTTTCGCGTGTTTTAATTTGAATTTCGATGTCGCCCTATCAGAGGATTTCTTATATGTGTCCTGTATGTCAGTGACACTGGCCAATTTACGCATCGACTCCGGTTTGTTGACGTAATGGTCTGCGATGCAGTTCATGTCCAGAACAATTTTATTGTCCCGCTTTTCATTCTCTATGTTAAGTTTGGCACATGTTTCTATGTTCTTTAGATCTTCTGGCTCGTTTTCTGGCTGTTGCTGACCTTCTGGATTTTGGCAGATGGACAATATATTGCCGTGTAACCGTTTGTATTCCACCATAGGTGTTGAGCAGACGCTCGTTTGTCCAGTGAAGACTTTTTCATTCTCTTTGACTTCTTCATCTAGAGATTTCTGGTTTTTGAAGCTCAGTGATAGTTTTGTCGGTCTGGGCCGCGGTTTGTTGGTGAATGGCACGACTTCTGGCATGCTCGGCTTCCGTTCCGCGTCTTTGTTCTCTTCTCTGTTTGGTGGTGATATCATGGTGTGGTCTTCCTCTGGTACCGCAGTAAAGAGTAGGGATTTATCTCTTTTCATACCCGTCTGTGGGAATTCGCGCATTTTTTCTCTTTCTAATTCTTGGTTCTGTGAATAAAATTATTACGTGATTCTTATGTGAAAGTGAGTTTGTTTGTTTGTTACCTTATAACTCAATCAATATAAAATTTGATATATACATGTAAAAAATGTTTCAGATATAGTGGACTATATATTTGCGCTGTACATTAATAAAAATACCAAATAATGGCAGAGAACGAGAAAGAGAGAGAGATTGTATTCGTTGCTTATAGTGCATGTATTACATAGGATGGGCTACTTTTTATCCCAGTCATGCGGACAAAGCCGCAGGTAAAAACTATTGTTTAAATTGATTATTTATTTATTGTTTACGATGCATAATTTTTCTATATATAGATGGATGACCTGACCTCACAATACCAATGGAGGATGTTTATGTAAAATAACCTTACAGGAGCACATGACTGTAAGCCGCGAAAAGTATAATATTTTCAATTCAGAACAAGGTGGATAACTGGACACAGGATGAAATTCGTCATATACATGATGTTTGTTCACAGTGGGGGTAAACAATATTTTAAACATGTACACTTATATGCAACTGGTGATTTAGTTGATTAGTATCTACATAGCCCTTTCAGGCCCAAGATTTTTTTTCTTTCTATTAAATATATTTTTGTCTTTTGAAGCCAAGCCATCTTGCCGGCACGCACGAGACTACTGCACCACCTAACCGCTAAAATGATTTCTTATTGGCTGGTTTAGAATCTCACTATCATGTTATTTCAGCTTCGTGCGTAAAAATGAATTGCGCGCGGTTATAGAATTTTTTAAAGTTACAACTCACGCCCGTATCGTTCAGGTCTGAAAGGGATAGATACTAATATTAATACATAGGGACACACACACACACACACACACACACACACACACACACACACACACACACACACACACATATATATATATATATATATATATATATATATATATATATATATATATATATATATATATATATATATATATATATATATATATAATGTAAAATCATTTTAATTGTAATAGTATTCTTACCTTTTTAAACCTGGCAATCATTTCCTCACCACTCTGATGGAACTCCTGTAATTTCTCCATTTGTTTCTTTAAATTGTCGTACGTTTTCTTTCCCACGTAAACCACTAACAGCTGCGCGCCCAACGGTAGAGGCGTCTCAGTTTGGAGAGTTTCAGCCGGTGATTTTATTCTATACGGATCTACTACTGTGAGATACGACGTCAAACTGGGTGGCAACTGTGTTGAGATTATTCTGAAACGTTTATGAATCAGTTTAGAATGTACTTACAATAAATCATCAATAATTCTTTAATTTTTTATATAGGCATTATTTTTATCTTTAGTTGTACAGCTTTTATCTCGAACCTTAGATTATATAGATAGAGCATAGAACCTCAAAAATGGCTCAACTTTTTGTCAGCTAAATGTCAAATTAGTTGACTTTTTTATCACTGTTTTTACACACTAAAAACAATGCAAAAATTATAAGACAAAATAAATATTGAAGTTATAAAGGAATCACTTACAATTATTTATCACGCAAAATTGTATGAAAATGTTGACGCGCTTTTCTCGAAGCATTTGTATGGAGATACTCTATCTATATAATCCTAAGCCTCGAACATTCAATAGTATTTTTTCAGCTTCTCAAAGGTTGACTGTAAGAGATCCTTTTATGGGATAAGTCCACCATTGTATATTAATCTTTTTGATGTATCCAGTGTAAATTATGTACAATAAATAATTTACAATACAATACAATTATATTGTTCCACAAAAAAAAAAAGATTGTGGCAAAAAAAAATTTTTGTATTAAAAACTAAACTACTTAATTGATTTTGATAAAATTTCTATGGGACCAATATGCAAGTGTAACTTTTCAGAAAAAAAAATAATTTTCCAAATTCGTTTACAACCTTTAGGTAGAGGAGAAAAGAAAGGAGGCTAGTTTTAAAAAAATATAATTACTTATAAAGCAAAGCAGTAGGTAATTATAGGGAACGCTCTTTTTGCGACTGACTTCATAAAAGAGGCTTCGTTTTAAATTATATTTCACTTTGCTTTATCGCGAACTATTGACGATTTCGAAATGATATTAAAAAAAAATTTAGGGTGGTCCTTTAGGTAGTAGTTTGTTATTAATGATTTATAAATACATTAAATACAATCGCATACAAAACCGTTCATAGGAATTTTTGAGGTTCATTATTACATACATATCGTCATAGTCGTAGAATACTGACGAATCTTTATATGTAATATTCGTCAGATCCGTCAGTATTCTACGACTATGACGATATGTATTAGTGCGCCACCTACCCTTTGTTTTTCTTTCTTTTCTCAATGTCCTCTACCCAAAGGTTGTCTGGAAAAGATTGCTTAGCGATAAAGCCGCCTCTTGTATCATTTCTCATTACAATTAAATGTATTTACTATTCTATAAATGGTGCAATAAAGTATAAAATAATATGTCAGATTTGTTGAATGCATATTAAGTAGTACAACGGTTAAATGTGATTCAGAACGATGAATGGCATTTAAACCGCAAGTAATTCAATACGAAACAAACGCATGTGGTACAATACGAGTAATATGTAGTTGATAATTGAATAGAAACGAGATTATATGAGGATATTTCTTATTGGGTAATTTTAAAAAGTATAGAGTTCTCAATTCATTTATTTTTTTTTTTAGTGTAAATTTCGATAATTCTCTTACTATTTGTTATGATTATTTTTTTAAAGTAATTTCTTAAATTACCTATTATCAATTGTTTTATAGATATATCAATAGAAAGGTTAAATACTAATTTAAAATATGAATAAAATACAATAATTTTCACTATCATATAAATGGGTAGAAATCGTCCATACAATTCGTGCGTTCACATAGATCTAATTTGACAAGTAAGAAAATTTATTTATTTCAACTTTATATATTTTTTCCAGTTGCTTGCATGTTCTCTGATTAAAAAAAAATATCGTGCAGTGTACAAACAACGGCAGCTACTATAGAGTAAATATTTCAAGTAAAATCATCATCATTTCAGCCATTATCTGTCCATTGCTGAACATAGGTCTCCCCCAAAGACTGCCATAAAGAACGAGAGTGTTCTTTATGGTAGTTTACCATTGGGGGTTTTTGCTGCTATGCTTGGCAGGCGGATTAGCAACCGCAAATACTTTGGTGATGTTCTAAGAGGGACGCTGCTGCCCATTCCTGGACCATTAACTTTCCTTAGTGGTCTCTTACGACATCCACAGGTAAAGAAGGGACGGTTTATTCTATATTGTAAGCACACAGCAATTTCATGTACTCACTTGTTATTATACAATACGACGCCGCCAAGTACGCCCTTACTCTTACGGCAGTGTTCCAATATTTGCATAGACTCCATGTAAATAGATGTGGCGCTCTGTAGAGAAAACGACATGCAATTTCGGTATATACGTACTACTGTCGTGAATTTACAGGGTACAGAGGAATAACACCTGAGTCCTCAGGAATGGCCCCGCGCGGGGGGGGGGGGGGGGGTATCATGGGCGAAACAGTATGTGTGTGTACTGTTATGTCCATGGTACTGCTCATGTCTATAGGCGACGGTTACCATTTTCCATCAGGTGGGTCCATCAGCTTGTTAGCCATTCTAAGTTGTATAAAAAAAAAAAAAAACTATTTGTGAAGGAGGTATTACGTAGGAGGGAGCTACTTTAGATTCCAATTAAACCAACATTTATTCGTCCAAGTGTCGAACGACAATTCGTCCAACGTATTAACAGTGATTTCATCATTTTTATATTTATAATATTATTAACTTGGACCCGCAATTACGTCCGCGTGATCGGGATGAAAAGTAGGCATTTTTCATCCCATATAATACGTTTATACCAAATTTCATAGTGATTGGTTAAGCCGTTAAGGCGATATAAAGTAATAAACAAACTCATTCACTTAAAATAACATATATTAGTTAGGAAGAATTAGACGAGTTTTTTATATACTACTATGGTGAAAAACATGCATACGGCTCGTCTGATGGTAAATGGCTATGGACGCTCGTAACACTAGATGTGTCACGCGGATGTAAATCGTATCGTACTAACTGATATTTCAATGTAAATAAATACTTTTTATCAGGTGCAATAATGGAAGAATTTCTCTATCTAAGTTTACTTTGACGGTTTTATCATAGTGTAGTATCTATGTATATTATATGTAGGTATTTTGAAGGCAGTCTTTGGTGATGAGTCGCCTAATCACTTAGTTTATAATTAGAAAATAACTGAAATAAAAATAGAAATATGTTTATGATTATTTAAATAAATTTCTTCATAAGTCCTATTTAGTATTATGTCGCAAAATTTGGATTGTTATTTATCTAGAATTATTAATGCGAATTCATGTAGATAGGGTGGGAGCAACCAAAGACAAGACGTAGAAAAGACGCGACATAGAAAAGGCAGGACAAACAAGACAATCTGATACCACAATACAAATACAGTACTAAAGTACAGTATGGACACTCCCTATCGCTCGCTGCGATCTGACTTCACCCCCTTTCAAGTACGCGTCTGCATCCAAAGTCTAATGATGTATCTAGTCTACGGATCAATTGCTGTCAATGTTAAAGAAGGATAGAGGATACAATATTTATGAAGTATGAAGAGGATAACTAGCTGGTCTCATCTAGTCTTAATTCAGAGTTGTTTAAAATTCGAATTCGACTGTCGTTGCGTCGCAATAACCTTGTAATTATTTTAGAAGCGATTATTTAAACAACTAACAAAACAATAAAATACATTAACCCTAAGTATTACAACTATGTCTATAGTTGTCATTTTTAGCCATGTTAGCCCCAAATAGTGGGGCAAAATCAAAACAATATCGTGATTTTATTTAAATAATTACCTTGGGAAGACTCAGCATTGGCACTCTTTGGAATATGTGGCACCCATACTGCAACACCGGGAGGTATGTTTCGAAAATCTGATACAGCTTCTCAGCTAGGCGACGCTGGTCTTCCATCTGAGCAGCCAAGGTCTGCAAGTCGCCGTGGTACACCCTGATCATGGAGGTGAGCAGCTTGGCCCGGTTCTTTAGCACCCAATCTGGGATGTTACGGTCGCTGCCGATGGCCTAGGGATTGTATAAATAGATTAATAAAAGATCATTATTATTATTAATATCGGGAGGAATGGGGTTGTGAAGCAATATACTTCATTAGGGTCGACCTCCACGCGGTTCCCTTTGGACACCATCGTGGTCAATTCTTGTTGAATTTGTCACGACGACTCAACTGACCTGCTTTCATCCTCGTCTATCATCTGTAATTAGTGCCGTGCCGCCAGTTCATAGCAATAGCGCAAGCGGAGTTAGCATTCCATTTCACGCATTTAATAACATCTCATAGCTGAAGTAACAGTGCTTGAGTTTACACATTTCCCTTTATTTAAGAATAGTAATAATACAGTAGTGTGTGTGTAATAATGCTACACAATTTTTTTTTAAATAGATGTATGGAATGGTAACCCCGCTCGCGCTATTGGTATACACCAATGAGGCACCAATGGAAGATGATAGGTGAGAATGAATGCAGGTCATTTGGCTCACCATGATGAATTTGACAAGAATTAACCATGATGGTTTCCAGGGGGAACCGCGTGGAGGTCGACCTGATAAGGTCAATTGCTAGCAATGGGGCTATTAGACCTCATTACTTACAATCCCTTTCCCCCCAATGCTACACAATTACACCAAACACCTGGTTCTCAAGCTAGTGTTATAAAAAACTACACATTGAGCATCTGGAGGCACAACCCAGATCACCAAGATCAAAGCTAATTTAGAAAAATTCACCTCAAATGATCCAAATGGGACTCAAACCTTGGACCTCGTTTACAGAAAACATGGATATGTTACTCACAACTGTGCTATGGAGTTTGACAATTTTTTAATAATACAACTACAACTGGCCACAGATAATGTAATACTTTACTACTAATACTCACCAATATATATCTTCCATATTCTTTGATGATGAATTTGCCGCTTTGCAGTGTGATCGCTACCGGTTGGGAGAACAAGGACTTGACACAGTGTGCTGTACCAACAACCTGTGACAATTTATTAAAAAAAGTTTTTATACTATCAAGGTTGTGAACAAGCATTCCACCTACCTGATGGTAAGTGGTTACTGTAGCCTATGAACGCCTGTAAAACAAAGCATGTGTTGCTAACTCTGAAGAAATCTCTTTTCTCTGATTATTTGATTCAAATTATTTTGTTTACTTTTGTTAGTATACTAATATAAAATATTTTGAACAATAAACAAATTGACACCTCAGCTGATGGAAACAGATAATAGTCACCTATAAAGATAAACAATACTACAGACGTCACAGTATACACAGTGATACCTATGGTAACACTCATGCATTGTCATTACTGAGGATTATGGTGTTGTACTTGCACACTCAGTAATTTCACTGGCAATATGCTAAAATTATTATACTGCAATATATGGTAATATTTAAAATCAAAATACAGCCAAGCAAAAATCATTTCATGGCATAAACACAAATGAGTAAAATGTTGAATGTGTGTGTAAAATATTTATATTATAATAATATATATATATATATTTATGTCTCCTCACAAACAACTTAAATTTACACATAGGTATTTAGGATAAAATAAAATTAAAACAATATGGAACTCTGCTGTGAGGAGCTGGTGTCTGTAATAGGTTAAGACCTGTAGTACAGATCACCAATAAATTTTATATTATTAAATATTTACACATCAACACAAGGGCAGACTATACCGTTAAGGTACACCTCTTTCATATAAAAATTACTTACATTGTAGCAAAAAATTCTAACTTGAAATATTTCAATTGGTTTAGATTTCTAGTTTACCTGTCCGGCTAGTGCATGCCGTTGGGTGTCTGACACCCACCCTGGGTGGAAATATAGGACAGCATTGATTGGGTCGTCTTCTTCTGAAGTGCAGCATTGTGTGTCATAGACAAAAACTATCATCATTTCCCTGACAAAAAAAAAAATACAGTATGATAAATATAATAAAATACTAACTAAGAAAAATGTTGAAAAAGTTTATTCATTATTTACATTTTTTTTTGCATGTCTTATTTCACTAATTAAAAAAAAATTGTATACTAATTGATACAATAATTTCGTTTATTAAATATACTAGGTAAAAATAGATTCTTTTGTTTATAATTATATATTTTAGGTGAGAAATATATAAAATAATTTTGGTGTTCTATAAAATATTAAAATATAAATAATAATTTTACAAAACTATCATAGAAAATTTTATGATATCGTTAAAGACATTATTTGACGTAAATGCAACAATTTTATCCAAATAAGTAAATTCTTAAGTAGCAAAATAAATAAAAAAAATTATATGAACTAATTAAAGATTTCAAAATTTACATAGTAGCGAACCATTTCGTTAGCAAAAATTTAATAACCGTAAAGCTATTAGGTGAAACTGTAATCAATATAAAAATGATCCATTTAAATAGAAAGGTAAGTAGACTTACTTAGCCATCTTGTGAAATTTTGTGTAATATTCACAGAAAAATTCAAAATTATTTATACCATTTCACTTATTTCTACTTGAAGCGATCCGATTAAATACGGTTTTATCTTTAGGGAGGCTTTATTTTCATGTTTTTTTAATTAAATTAAAAAAACGATTGAACCACAGGTATAAGTAAAATAGCTATTTTGACATTTATTTTTTTAAGTGTTAGTGTTGCACGTTAACAAGTCATAGATACCTGTTTTGACTTGAAATATAATTTTTAGAACGTCATAATATAGTAAAATTATTTAAACAGTTAAATCGTAAGATACCTTGACAGAAGTATAGTATAAATTCTCTTTCCAGGATTAGCAGATATAGGATAAAAATTTTTGCTATCAATATTTTTTATAGTTGGCACACCGAGAATTTATGTTTGATGGATCATAGATGGCGTTAACATGTATACTATAAACCTAGATTTTTGAGACAATTATTCATTATAATAAAATCGAAAATAACCATTAATTAAAACAAGAACTTTTTATCGAGTAAGTTAGTTTAGATAAGTTATTATAATTATACAGATATTGCGAACCACAGATGAAATAGATAGCTGTAGGTAGCTGTATATTTTGACGTAAACCACTGTTTTAACGAATATGGAGGGAAAATGTTGGAAAATACTACATTACACTGAAATTAGTATATTTGTCTTAAATTTATTTATTTTTCCTTTTACAGGATTTTTTTAGCCTTACAGGTGTTGAATTAATTAAAATAGTAAAAACTAAACATCTTACCTAAGCATCTTATTTTTAAAACAGGATAGATATCCACTAATTAATCGATCAATACATATATTCACTTGCGTGGAACTAATATCTTCAGTTCTCGTGGGAATTTCTCTGAACATTTTAAGATTTACTTCAGAAAGATTTTAAGCCGTTGTGAATAATTCTAAAATAAATTCCCCAATGGAGCATAATTGAGAACAACTCACTAAGTCTGGTAGACTGTAGCGCTTAATATTAGAGCTTATATTTATACGCGTGGATTTCAAAAGTAGGCAAACCAGAGAAATGGACAATTTATAGACGTCATATTAAGATAAACGATCAGATTATAGATAAAACACCAGATTTTATGTTAAACATTCATGAACACGACTGCATTCAATTTGATATAGTAGTTTTTGCCTGATGCTGGAACAAACACGCAGACAGACAAATTTTATAAAAATTAGTGTTCAGGCTTCTATTGATATAAGTCTTATTAAGACCTCTTACATATTTTTTTCTTAAATATCTCTTATGCACAGACATCGTTCTAGTTACAATTTTATTATACATTACATAACAATTATTATTTATTTTATTATAATTACTTGTAATACACTTATAATTTTCATTTCATCATATAATTTTTAAACTGTCCACTGCTGAACATAAATATCCCTTTCGGGGGTTTTGCCAGTAGTTGTTACGCGGGTTAGTAACCGCAGTTAGGCTTCATAGATGTTTTAAGAGGGACGCTGCTGCCCATCCCTCGCCCTCCCTTAGGCACCTCTTACGACACTCACGGGAAAAGAAAGGGGTGGACTATGCCGGAACGACATGGCAATTTTCATTTATAAAGTTAAAATTAAAAAAAGAGTAAATAAATAAATAAAACTCGTCATTAGCTGTATTTGTTTATTTATACTTTTGCACGCATTGAAAAATGTCTACAGGGCGGACTTAATGCCTGATGGCATTCTCTACCAGTCAACCACCACGCCAAACAGAAAGAGCAAATAGCGGTGCACAGATTAAAAAAAATAGCAAATTAAATAAATATTTTAAGAGATAACAATTTATGATAAATAAACATACAAACATATAGAATAATATACTTACAAAAAATATACATACATAAATCACATGTATTTATAAGAGAGTCAACATATCAGTTACACTTTAAGAGAGCTGTGAATTAATGTACGATTATTGAATAAAATAAAATAAAATAAAAATATTAGGTAGTAAGATAATTAAAATACATTTATGTTAGCAAGGTATACCTACTCACAATCTTTTCGAAAGATTTATTAACATTCCACAAGACAACGATACATAAGGATTGGCATCGAACCAAATGTTTCCAAGTGTGACTAGAATGACCAGACTTAAATAAATATTTGTACAATAAAGGTACAAGAACTATTTTTTTTTCAAAGGATTATTTTATTTATTTATTTACTCTTAATTACATCAGTTAAAGAATTACTTGTTCTATTTCATATAGTATTTGTATGCCAAATTTCATAGTGATTGGATAAGCCGTTAAGGCGCTATAAGGTAACAAACAAATAAACTCACATTTATAATATTAGTAAGGATGATAGAGGCATAAATTATAGTTTGTAGGTGCGAAATATAAGAATTACATTACTAGGTACTCTGATTTTTATAAAAAAACTCTATATATATATATATATATATATATATATATATATATATATATATATATATGCGTCTGTAGTCTATGACAACCGTTTATGATTGACAAGTCGTATACTTGCTGGCAGCCCTATAAAAAAGAACATTTTGGTAATAATAAAGTAAACAAAAACTGGGAAGTTACTGATATGTAAATATATTATCAAAATATTGTAAAATAGCTGTATACCACGGCTTCCCCTGCATAATTTACGATAAAAGTATCCTGTGTGCTAAGTAATCTACCCATGTACTAAGTTTCATTTAAATCCGTTCAATAGTTTTTACGTGAAAGAGTAACAAACATCCGTCCATTCCTCCTTACAAGCCTTTCGTATTTGTTATATTCATAGGATGTTATCGACTTTATTGGAGGCATACGACAAAAACATAGGTCATTGACTTATATAGAATTTCGCACCTCCTCATCACCCACATCACGTCGGCGTATCGACGTCATGTATCAGAGGAAAATCTCTGTCCACCGCGGTCCGAGTTATTCCGTTCTGAATAATAATGTACAATGAAAGTGCTATGTCGCATGAATTACAAATATCACGGAGAAATTGTGCACTGTACGCACACAGCGAGTGATCTTAAATAACGTTATGTATTGCTTTATATTCCAATTTTAAACACAAAAGTGAAAATACTATGTACTTAGTCGTAACTTGTATAAGTTTGTGATCAATGTGGTAGGTATTTACTTACACCCGTTGGGGAGGAAAGAAATTGTTAGTAATGGGATTCGTTTGGAAGGGTGGGATATGGCAGTGAGCTTATAGGGTACAGAGGCATAATATCTTACTCCTCAGGAATGGCAACACATGGGGGGTATCATGGGCGAAACAGTATACTCTGTTATGTCCATGGTACTGTTTATGTCTATAGGCGACGGTTACCACTTTCCATCAGGTGGGCCGTCAGCTCGTTTACCATTCTAAGTTGCATAAAAAAAAGAATTATTAAGGATTAGTAGCCCCATTATTAGTATTATACTCTATCAGGTCGACCTCCACGCGGTTTCCGTATTATGCAGTATATTGCCTATGCTGAGATAATTTTTAATTTTTGCTGCATCACAGATAAGTTGGTTACATTGTAAACTGTAATCTGATTCATCTCGTTCATCGCTTGATTCTATAATGTATTACAGATGCTGCGTTGTGTTGTTTAAACTCTTTGTACTCGTAAGTGGGGTGAATGCAAATGAGATGAAGCAATAGATGCAGGTCTATGTGACAGAAAGTGACCTCTGACTACCCCTCATCTAATGGTATTTATTTATTTAAAATAGAATATCAAATGGACACACACAATGCATTTTATTAATATTTCTTTTTATTGTTATTTTTAATAAGGAATTTCGCGACTGACTCTTGGCCACAACAGAAAATTTGTGTTTTGCTCTTTTGAGGGCAAAGCAATAAACTGAGTTGTGACCATTTTGTATTACTATGGCACACGCATGAAAGACAAGAAAATTGTTGTTTTATATATTTTGCTTTTCGTTTATTTTTTATTTTTCATTCTTTTATCTCTTTTACTATGTATTATGTGTATGTTTGTATTGTAATTTGTGTGCTGTAAGTAATGTAAATAATTTATCTATCTATGTATAGATAGATAGATATTTTTGGCCTTATCACGAATTATACTTAAAGTATGTAAATTAAGGCCGTATGGTCCCGGCATAGAATAGACCCTTTTTTTCTTGTGGGTGTTGAAAGAGGCAACTAAGGAAGGGCGAGGGATGGGCAGTAGCGTCCCTCTTAAAACATCTCTAAAGCCTAACTGCGGTTGCCAATCCGCCTGCCAAGCGTGGCAACTACTGGAAAAACACAGTTAAAGGCTGATATGATCATAATGTTAATTAAGAGTGTTTATAACTTTTGCTAATTGAACAGTGGCAACATCGTAATTATCTGTCAATTTTCAAATACTTAAAAAAAAGTTTTTGATTGATGATTATAAAAAGTGCATCGAGAGTGAACTAAAGTGTTAATTGTACAGTACGTATAAATGTACTAATAAATATTTTGCTTTGGAATTCTTCAAATATTTTTTTGCTATCAAAATCTTAATTTTCATCAAGAACTTAATAAGAATATTACTGCATGATTTATGTTTTAGTTCTCTAGCAAAGAATTTTCAAAGCAAAAGCAAAAAATTTCACACGCTCTTCTTTTCATTTAAGAGTTACCTATTGTCGGTGCAACTAATTCATGCATCTTCTTCCAGCCAGTTCTATCCCAGGCCATATCCTTGACCTCTCTATACGACATGACACCTAGTGTTTCTTTTATTTGTCCCATGTAGTTATTCCTTGGTCTTCCCCTTCCTCTTTTGTCTTCTACTTTTCCTTCTACTATGCTCTTAAAAAAATCGTCATGTCGTATAAGATGGCCCAGCATTTTGCTTTTTCTATTTCCGCGCTGAATAACTAATATTAAATTGAATATAATTGTTTAAACTGTTTTGTAAATAAACATAATAATATGTATTGATTGTATTATTATAGGGTTTTATTAATTGTAAATGAATATAATTATTTTTGTAAATTGACCGATAATTGTAACATTGTCGTCTTTCGTAATGAACGTTCTTAACAATAGACTTAGTATAACGTACTAAGCTCTTAACGGTATCAAACCAACTGGCTGGAGCGATAATTGACTTGTGATACATGAATTGAATTTGTAATCACACATCTTTTTTTTTTAGATTTAATTTTGGAAATATACAGATACATTATACATTACAATAGACGGTAAGACAGAAGAAGAAGGGGAAGGGGGAGACCAAGAAATAGTTACATGAGATAGTGAGTGACAAGACCACCGACAAGAGCGCAACTTTTAAATAGGATAGATGTAAAAATGAATACACAGAAATGCAATATACTGTTTTATTTTACGATATTAAAATATGAATATTAATTGCTCATCGATCATAAACCAGTCATGAACAAATTAGAAATATACACATATATTACAAAGAGGCCGAATTACGTAAGTTTCTCTAAAATTATGTAAATGTAAACTTTGATGTAGGGAAAGATAACGAAGTTCACAAGCATAACAGCAAGCAGGCATTAATTACGTTGCGGCCTACTTATGAAGAAAATTTGGCATACACTTTGTTAGTTTTTTTTTTCATACTTTTTTTCTTTTTTGTACTACGAAGTTGACAAACAAGCATACAGCCCATCTAATGGTAATTAGTCACTGTAGTCTATGGACGCCTGTAACTAGGGATGTTACGTACGCGCTACCGACCTTGAAGAAACCTTAATATACCCTTTTTAAAGAGCCCCATACCGTAGTTTCTAGGGAAAACCTCGGTAGAGAGCAAACAATTCTGAGGTGAGCCGAGTCCATCCGGCCTCCCTTAATTACGCCTATGATTTAGGAGGCTATGAATGTATCTGGCCAGACGATTTAGTCGACGATTTTATTACGAGATTACTATCTTTGATGTATTGTGTTTTATTTCCTTTGTCATCTCTTACGACAATCATCACGTCCACTGTCTCTTCGGTGGACCTTTCAACTGTGCTTTTAACTTCGAGTCTCTTTTTTATTTTTTTTTAAGTAATTTAGAATGGCAAACGAGTTGACAGTTCACCTAATGGATTGTGGTAACCGTCGCCTATAGACATGAATTGTGCCTTGGATATAACAGAGTATACTGTGTCGCTCATAATATCTTTCATGCGGTGCCATTCCTGAAAACTAAGGTGTTATGTCTCTGTACCCTTACCCTGTAATTACATTACTATATCCTGTTCTAACACAGTTGTGTTTGCATGGCTTTGTTTCAGTTTGAAGAACACAATTGTGTTTCTACCGTGAAGCAACTGCTTCAACGAAACACAAATGGGACAGGAATATCCAAACAGACGACTTTTATACAAAGTCTTCAGAAAGGCCGATGTCTCTGAAATATAGAAAAAAATATTTTACGTAATACTTTATAGAGAAATCTACTTATCTGAAAACCTGAAAGTAAAAAAGTCCACAGAAATTATGTAGCAATTGCACTTGGAAAAAAATCGCCTAACAATTTTAATACGTGTATATACATATAGAGTTGCGTGTATGTAATTTATGCGTACACGAGTACAATCCCTTCTACAAGTGAATTTTAGCCTTCAACGTGTTCTAGATCATGCAAGCGGTCTGGCAGTGTGGCTAGACAAAAAACGTCAAGTGGAATGCTGTCTTGATATTGTAGGCCACGCCTACCCGCTGTACCGACGAAAGGGCATTTTCAAAAAGATATATATGTTTTTTAAAATATTGTAAAAGCTTGTTTTTTTTAACAATTTTTAAATACATTTTTTAACTTTCAAAGTTAGGATTTAGTGGCTTATTGTTATATGTATTTATTATATTACTATATAATCTATAGTAATATAATTATTCATTATATAATTTAATATATTATATAAATTTATCAATATAAAAATAATATATAGCAATAGCTGCAAGTTTTTATTAATACAAATATAAAATATTTTTATTGGCAATCAAATTACATACAGGTATTGGTTGTTTTAAATCATATATCATTACCCGTAATAAAAATAGATCGTTATTCCTTTTATGTTATATTTTTGTCACAAGAAAAGATTTTAATCGTAGTAAAACTAGTTTTTTTTTTTTTAAACTAAACTACTGTTGTTTGGGAGAGACTGCTTAGCAATAAGTACTGCACTATACTTATTAAAAATTCTTCAACAATTCCTGTTATTTTTATGCAATAAAGTGTTAAATTAATAAATAAATTGCTTAACCAATTTGAAAGTATGTCCTTTTAAATAAAAAAAAAAGTTCCAAATCTGTTTATAAATGACAGAGTTATGAGATAACAAACAAAAAAAAAATATGAGTCTATGGTCTACGAGGTCTATGAATTTACTTCTTTTTTTAAGTCCGATGAAAGTGCAATTAGAGAAACGAACTTAAATAATTTTAGGAACAAAGTACAATGTACCTTCGTACATCAGCAAGTGGAGAAAATCCATAAATCACAAAACCTAGCAGTAGTAGTAGTGGTAACAATTCTATTTTATCCTATTATTAACTTATGATGCATTGCTGGGCAAAGGTCTCATCTATCTCCTTCCAAAAGTTTCAGCACTACGCCACTACATTTAAAAAAATAGGCTAATTTTTTATCTGGACAGATCTGTGTTCAGCAGTGGCTTGTTACTGTTATATTATGATGATGTTACATTTTATTTATTTTTACAGTCACATTTTTTGATACGTATACAAATAATAATTTTTTATCATCTAGATGAATTTGATTAATAAGTTGTAACGATAATTCGTTATAACTTATTTTTGTCCCCGCTGGGTTCTATTGAGTTCAAGTCTAGTTTTCATCTCTGAATATATCTTATAGTTTAGCCAAACCGCTTCATTGTTTGATATTTATTGTATGGATTTGGACTAATTTAATATACCTCTTGTATCAAAGTTCGCACTGAATTCAAACATAATAAGTACCATATTGCAGTTTCATGGCAGAAATAGGGAAGATTACACCTGATATAGGTACCTACAAGATAAGAAAAATTCCCAAAAATAAATAATCGCGGAAATCGAAGCTGACGTGGGTTACATCGGCGGGTTACGTAAATCTTTATGCATAATTACAAGTCGCATACAACGTAAGGTCGTAGAAAGTGAATCGACTCGTGTGAACCGTCAAAAAAAGTCCGCCATCTTAACAGTCTGTGGCGCGCTGTTCGCGCGAGTCGACGTTTCCCGCCGAAACATTGAAAATTTGAACTTCGAACGCGACAAAACTTTTGAATTTATTTTTTATCAACACACGCGTGTTGACGGCCAGTGTTTGAAGAAATTTATTTTATCTGAAGTGAATCGCATATTTCTTACGTGTGGTATAGTGAATAATGTGATAAACAGTTGTATAAAACAAATTCAAGACATTCCAAGGATTCTTTGTAACTTTCATGTATTGACATTTTCAAGGCATGGGGAATTCTCGGTGGAGATTTACAGATTATACATTTTTGAAAATTTTAAACATGGTAAGTTATATTTATAAGAAAAAAAAAAATTGCGAAGGTTAATTTACCGAAAACATAAATATTAATACATTGATATCTACATAATTAAAGTAAGCATAACTTTTCTGTTTATTATTTTTTTAATTAAAGAAAAGGCCACATTTAAGTGCAAATAAAATTAGTTACATGGTCATCGTACCGTGTTGCTGTTATGATACATAGATATATTTATATACTCGTATTTCCCTTGAAAGTTGGAACCTACATATTAACGGTAGCATGAGGGCTGTTAAGTAACTGACTGATTCGTAATTTAATCAATACATAATTGTATTCCGATGGAAGTTTTCACTCCGATTAGTTTTGCGGATTTCTCTGATTATGCGCAAGATTTACATTTAGATATTTAGTGGGTATTCAACATTGAAGAAATAGGTTTGTGATAGTTTAAAAATAGAAATAAATGTTTATAAGACGCATTTGATTTTTCTTTTTTTATTTATTTATAACGGTTTACGTAGTGATTGGCATAGACAAGATAAAAAAAAAATATACTTAATTTCTTGTGTGGTTATACCTTTATCAATATCTTTGTTAATGTCAGGCGATACCTTTGTCAATTCTCATCTGAGTTTATTATTAAGTTTTAAATTATTTACTATTAAATTTACTCTTTTATGGTGTAGAAAATTGCTTGTTATGAAATAAAATCTACTAGACACCGCGAATATCCGTGTTCTAAATTTAAATATTTTAAACATGTGTCTACGAAACATTTCATTGTTTATCGATGCACTTTATCTCTTTACTCATTCGTTTTCCAACGATTTAGTTGTGTGATGATAATGGATAAGTTTGAATGTAGGACACTTGTATTGATACCATACTTGTGTCGCCATATGGTCCCGGCATAGAATAAGCCACCCATTCTTTTCCCATGTGTGTCGAAAGAGGCGACTAAAAGAACTTAAAAATCCAGAAATAGACAGCAGCATTCCTCATAAAACATCTCCAAAGTTTAATTGTCAACTCACTTGCCAAACATGGCAACTACTGAAAAACCTTCAAGGGGAGTCTTATGTTCAACAGTGGACAGTTAAAGGCTGATATGATGATGATGATGAGTAATACCGTAAATTCATTGTATAAGAAAAAACACTCTTTGATTTATTATACAGTCCCATATAGATGGGAAATTTAGAATTACTCATGATGCTTAATTTACTACTTTTACAATTTTTACTCCTATGCGTAGTTCTAAATTAAGCAGAGCTTATACTAATAGAAATAATTAAAATACTTTACTTTTGGAAATACATATGTATATACAATATAGACAGATAGATACTCTTTATTGTTTCCTCCAAAAGATTATAATAGTTAACTTATTATAAATATATGGTAAACAATTACAAGAAATAATCACAATGAGAAAACAATGGGCGGCCTTATCGCTAAAAGCAATCTCTTCCAGGTAACCTTTGGATGGAGAGGAGTAATTATAAACAGTTTGATCTGAGGCACAATGAAGATCCTATTATTTCTAAAAAGGAGATGTAATATATGTATACATGTATACATATAATATACGTAGATTATAACAAACAGGCATTAGTGAATACAAATGTTTGTATTGTGCGGGAATCGAACCAGCGACCATTGGAAGATAAAGTGGTACTCATGTTAAACCGCTACATCATCAAGGTCGTATTATGCATCGAATATTTGTAATTTCATTTTACGCAATACCAAAATAACGCATCATTAAATCACAATAATTTCGATATCATTAGAATAATTTAATACTAATTACGAACCAATGGTGTATTACGCAATGAAAACTCGAAACTGAGCAACGAAAACTCGAACCGGACTGACACAGTTCACGAGCAATTCGACAAAATTCATTTGTACGACTTAATGATTGTGAATTGCATTAAATTATTATTTTTTATATAATTTTCCCACTAATAATATGCATGTGAAAGTTTGTGAACACATCGGGATATTTGGTTTCCAGTAATGCGGAAATGATTCAATGGCCTTTAATAGATTTAAGCACTTATGAAGGTTTTAATAAAGTTTAATATTTCTTATTCGTAAAAACGTCAAACGTCGAAATCTAATAAACCTATTTTCGACACCGCAATATTTTGTCTTTTTCTTTTGTATGAATTTCTCAATTTGAAAAAATAATCTTATAAATTCTATTTTTAATATGTGTTTGTTACACCATAAATAAATACGTAATAAAAATTCTTAAAATATTTTTAAATCAATCATAATTTAATTTAAAAATTTAAAGTAAGGTTATTTATTAATATATTTAATGTGGATATAATATACTACACACACAAATAATACACACTTTTACACTAATTATTGCTGAACTTCCAGTGATGCGACGTTTCAAATAAGTATCTCCATAGATTTTGTTTTTATATTTTTTTCTATTTAATTTAACCTACCCTCTAAAAATAAGCATAATATTGTTTGGTATACAAATTGGGAATCTGTAATTGGCTAATGTATGGCGTAAATATAATATTTTTAATTATTCTAGATATAAGCTGTTGATTCCAGGTGTAATATTAAAATAAATATATATTGTTATAGTAAGTAATTTAATAAATTATATGTATTTGATATTTTTGTGCATTACATGTTTTTGTATTTTATGCACGAAAAATTATTAATACACTCTTGCGCCACCTGCCCTTTTCTGTCTGTTCTCCTTTAACTAAAGGTTGTCTGTAAGAGATTGCCCTAGCGATAAGACCGCCTTTTGTACCTTTATGTGTATATTTCAATCTGTATTTATGTTACTGTATTTCACTTGAATTATTCACTTGTCATTGTATATTTTTATATATGATGCAATAAAGAGTTAAATAAATAAAATAAAAATACAAAAATTTCTTGCATCCGTATTTAATATCCTATTATATATAAGGTGATGTGACTACGTACCATAAAGCCATACTCGTCCGGTTTTAATCTATGACTGTACTCGTGTCGTGTCCTTGACTGGTCTGCGCCCGCGCACATTCCCTGTCGACGAGAATTTCGCGTCTTCTTGTACACAAATAGAACGTTCATTGGCTTTAATATAAGAGGAAAACTTAAGATTTTATGTCACAAGAGACAGCGGCGTCAACTGGCAAAAAAATTAATCGTCATCATCATACCAGAGGGAGACTTTGTACAAAAGTCGATTGCTTGGGTACCTCTGTCCCATTTGTGTTTCAACCGTAAAGCAGTTGTGTTTGCATGGCTGTGTTTCAGTTAGAAGGGTGGGATATGGCGTGAATTTACTGGGTACAGAGGAATAATACCTAAGTCCTCAGGAATGGCAACGCATGGGGGGTATCATGGGTAAAACAGTATACTCTGTTATGTCCATGGTATTGCTCATGTCTGTAGACGACGGTTACCATTTTACATCAGGTGGGCCGTCAGCTTGTTTGCCATTCTAAGTTGTATAAAAAAATAAAATAAAAAAAAGCTATTAACTGTTCATTACTTAACAGAAATTAGAAGACCCCCTATAGGAGGTTTTGCCAATAATTGCCACGTTTAGCAGGTAGATTTGCAACCACATTTAGGCGTTTGATGATATATTAAGAGGGACGCTTCTGCCCATCCCTCGACCATTATATTCCCTTAGTTGTCTCTTACGACACGCACGCGAAAGGAAGAGGTGATCCAAGTTGTGCAGGGACCACACGGCAATTTTTTTATACAATTGGTGAGTTTTTTTTTATATAAGTTAAAAGGCCAAACGAGCTGATTGCTCGCCTGATGAAAAGTGGTAACCGTCGCCAATAGATATTACATATATCTACAGTGCCAGGAAGCTTCTGCGCTTCTGGGCGGAGCTAGGTTGACTGTACTAGCCACGACTCACACGCACAACGACCCAAATGAGAGGCTAAGCGCGGAAAACAGAGTCTTTCTCACATTCATATTCACATATCTACAGTGAACGCTCTATATAAGCAACCTCTCTATAAGCAACATTCTTTATATTTTATTTATTCTACTAAGTTTAGTTTTAGTAAAAGAAATAAGTAAAATTATTTTCCAGACGGTAAGTATTTTTATATCCTTTTTTCCCTATAAGCAACTTTTCCCAATAAGAATTTTTTTTTAAATTGATTCAAATGAGTTGCTTATATAGAGCGTTCACTTTAATTTGTTACATATATTTTGCTACATATATTCTGTTACATATATTTTGCTTCATATAAAATATATGTATTACATATATTTTGCTACATATAAAATATATGTATTACATGTATTTTGCTATGTATATTTAAGTTGAAACAAGATAAAGTTACAAACATTAAAACGTCCTCAAATAAGTACAATATTGTAAGCGGGTAAGGTTTTCGTGAAAGTTGTCTAATAGTTGTTTTGAATATTCATAAAAAAAGTAGGCTGTTTAAAACATAAGTGTGTGGTTACAGTGATGTAAGAGACAAACGAAATTCAATGGGTTTCAACCAATTTCAAAAAGGTTGAAGTTCGCTATTGGACTTATTTCTTTCTTTTACGTATCTAACATGTAAATATATTTGCCTTTGTTTCCGTTTTATTCTGTGATTTAACGAAAAGTTCAATGAATAAATGTTAATTCCATTTTATTAATTCGGTTGTTTTATTAAGTTGCTAAATAAAATTAATTTTATTATTTAGTTAGTAATAATTAATTCAATTCTTGAAAATATTATGTAGTATATATTATTTTAAACCCCCTTTTTTTGGGAAACAAACACATTCGTCAATCTTGGCTAATTTACTACAAGAAGGGGAAAATACAAAAGTATTGTATTATATCATACAAGGGGTCTTACATTCCCGTGGGTGTCGTAAGAGGCGACTAAGGGAACATAATGGTCGAGGGATGGGCAACAGCGTCCCTCTTAAAACATCACTAAAGCCTGACTGCGTTGCCAAGCCGCTTAGCAAACTACTGGCAAAACCTCCTTTATGGGGGCGGCCTATATTCAGCATAG